CAGTGTGTGCTGGCTGGCAGCCTGTCCCTGCCACTGCCTGTTTGTCCTGAGCTGTTCTTCATCCACACACCCTGTTCTTAACCTCCTGCAAAGCTCGAAGGCCGCCCTTAGGAAGTAAAATGTTAAACAGTTTATCTTTGTTTGATTTACTGTGCAAGGAAGTAAACTTTATCGCTGTCTTTGCATGACAGAAAGGAACACTGAAGCCCAGATTGAATCGGAGCACACAGAGACTCTTTAGAGGACACTCTGTGAGCTCCATGGGTTCAGAACACTGGAGCTCTGACAGTGTGTGCTGAACCCCCTCTCTGTATCTTTTCCAGCCCATTGGAGCGCTGCTGCTGGAGCACTGCAGAATCACCAAAGAAGAGGAGAATGTTTTCTCCATCAGTGAGTTCTGTTTGTGTGTTCCCTTCACGTCCCCCTCGCAGCAGCTCTTGGTAAAAGGAAACATTTCCTGCTTTCTTCCTGCTTTTCCCCATTCCCCCTCTGACACCAGCTCAGTGCTCCCCAACCTCCCTCCCCATCCAGTGCTGGTCGGTGCAGAGTTGCCATGCTCCAGTCCTGGGATGGCAGCATCTCCCCATTGCTGTGATGGGCACGGCTGTGTGCAAGGAGAGGAGCAGGAAAAGCAGCCAGCCCACAGCTCAGTGCTTGTGGCAATGCCTCTCTAGGAGGGTTCGCTATTGACAGATTGCTGCTTCTGTGCTGTTGCATTTTATCAAAAAAACAACAACAAAAAACCCCAAACACAAGTGGGCTTCAGATCAACCATCTGTGGTGCTGGTGGAGCAGGAGTGCTGTGTCCTTGTGTCGATAGCCGCGGCTCCAGCTGCCTCGCGCTGCGTCGGCCTTTCATCCCAACAACTAATCATTGTGCGAGAGGTATGTGGCAAAAATAACAGGATGTTTCTCCAAGGCCATCCCCGTATCTTTTGGCCTGGCTGTCAGGCGCAGCTGCTTCTCACTGCACAGCCATCTCCCCTCTCCCAGCCAGCAGAGATGGAGCTCTGACCGTCCCACGCAGTCTGAATGCAGTCGGAGCGTTCTGCTGAGCGCGTGGGGTTTCTGCACTGCCAGAGCTCTGCTGAACCACAGGTTCCCAAGAAAGGTGTTGAATGTGATGGCACTTGGAGCCGGACTGCGTCCCGTACAGCAGCTCCGAGGGGTTGGATGCTCCTGACCCAGTTATTTCCCCACATCTCTGTGCACTGTGTACTAAAAAGCAGAGCTCTGGGGATGATGTTAATTAATTAGATGTCCTGATTCTGTCTTGGTAAAGAATTGGAGTTGTGCAGGGATTTGCTTTCTGCTGTGCACAGTACTGAATTCCCCAAAGCCTCCAGCAAAGACAGGTCAGTACCTTCTCTGAGTGTGATTTCATTCCTCAGATAGCTGCCCTCTGCACACCACAAAATCTCTTCCTCGGGGCCGTTTTCCACTCTGGTTACTAAATCTCCTTTGACGCTTTGCAAGGAGGCTCGGGGTGTTTCAGTCTGCGTTTGCCCAGCCCATCTCCAAGCTGTCACTCGTTGAGAAGCTGCTCTTTCCCCCCCAAAGTGTTTTGCTGCTCTGAGCTGACGGGCACTGCAGGCAGCTGCTGGGAAATGCAGAGCAGAAGCGCCTCTGCAGTTGGTGTTGCTTTTGGAAGTGTCTCTCCCAGGCAGGAGTGATGCTGAGGGCTGCTGAGCTGTACTGAGGTCCTCTGGGCCACCATCACTCCCACACAGCTCTAACACAACTGTATGGGGAAGAGTGGTTATGCGCTGAGTTGAGGGAAGGGGGATGTTAAGGAGTGGCTGTCGCACTGTGTGCTGTTTCCAGTCCCTTTCTATTAGCAAACAGCTTTCTGAGCTGGATTTCAAGTTTGCAGGGGCAAGTTTGGCTGGGCCTTTGATTTTAGCAGGCAGAGAAAGAGTGTAACTCCAAGCCATAGTTAGGAGCATGATTCCAAGCTGCTCACGGTAGGATGGAGGGGACAAAGGCCTGGGTTCCCACCTGGTTCACAGGTCATCCTAGATGAACAAAGGTGCTAACTGCAGCCTGGCTGAACCTCACTTTGTTGAGGAGGAAGAGCTCTGCCAGGACCTCACTTAAACCTTTTCCTTGTTCTTGGCAGGTTTCATTGAGGAGCCAGAGAGGAAGTACTGCTTTGAGTGTGACAGCGAAGAGCAGTGCCAGGAATGGATTGAGGCACTCAAGAGAGCCAGGTGGGCCGAGCTCCCTGAGAAGGGTCTGTTTTGAGCTGCACATTTCATGCTGTTTGTTTCCTGGGATCACTCATGGTGAACCTGGGGAGGAAAGCAGCTCCCTCCTCCTGGCCAAGCTTCCCTTTGGCTCTAAACAGCTTTAGAAACTTCCCCGCATTCCTTTCTGCTCAGCCCGCTGTTCTTTTCTTACAGCTATGAGTTCATGAGGAGAAGTTTGATTTTCTACCGGAATGAGATCCAGAAGATGACGGGGAAGGTGAGTTCCTGAGGTTGGCTGCTGGGGTTGGCCTGGATCTCTGGCCTTGCTGCTGCCATCCTGCGTGAGGCTGTTGGCTGCACCGCATGCGGCTGTGCTCTGGAATCAGCACTCAGCCCTGCTGTGTGCCAGGCTGCTGAGAAGGGCTGTCCCAGCTCCCCCTGCCCGTGTCTCACCATCACTTCCCTGTGCTCTCCTTGCAGGACCCCCTGGAGCAGTTTGGGATCTCGGAGGAAGCCCGCTTCCAGCTGGCAAGCCGCAAGCAGTAATTCCACAGGCTCTTTCTGGAGGGTGAAACCCACCTTCCCCCAGAAGGAACAGCAGCAGTTCCCCCCCCAGCGGTGACCAACTGACTTTCTAATTTATTAGCCAAATGGGGCTTTTTTTTATGATTTTTTCTTGAGGGAATTCTTTGCACATTCCCACCTCTCCTGCCCTCCCGCAGCCACGGGGGCAGCCGTAACTGTTCCATGCAGACTGTGACCTTGTGCACCGATGCTGCTGCAGCCATGGGAGTGACAGCAGGAGCAAAGGAGGAGGGACTGAGCCGAGCTCCAGCACTCACTGTCCTCCAGCAAAGGCTTAGCCCTGGTGCCAGGAGCTGTGGGGCCGGCCCTGTGCCAGCTCTAGCTTCCCCTTAATCCCTGCCCTCCTGCTGGGAGCTGCTCGGCTTTTCTGGCTTAGGATGTTCCTGCAGCAGCCCCTTTCTGTAGGAGGCTGCTCTGGCTGATGGCATTGCTGTGCCACAGGTCTAACCCTGCTGTGTTCTCTTCAACACAAAGCCATTTCCATTCAGCAAGGAGCAGGAAGGCTTCTGTGAACGTGGAGCAGCTCTGCTCGGAGGAAGGGCATCACCAACTGCCGCCAGCACCTCCTGGGGTGCTGTTCTGTTTGTCCTTTCTCCGGACAGGCACTGCTCATTCCTAGAGGCTCCATGAAGCCCACTCTACTGCAAGTTAGAGCACTGTCACAAACGATGCAGAGAATGAAGCTGTAAAGCACAAGGGAGGAAAAACGGGGCTGAGAGCTCCGTGCCGTGATCCTGCCGCCCTCTGCAATGCTGTGGGCTGGGCTGAGCCTCAGGAGCAGCAGAGAGAGAGACTTGTAAAGGCAGGATCTGCTGTAAGAGTGTTGGGGTATGCTGAAGTTGAGCCCTGGGAGCATCGCCTTGCTATGCTGCAACACTCCACTCCCTCTGTGAGCTGCCAGGGAGCAACGAGCGCCTTTGCAGGGACTCTGATAGTGAAGTGATGAGCAGTAATAAGCATTAAGGGACATCTCGAGGCTCTGCACCTGAATGCAAACGGGGGAAGTGCAGCCAGAGATGAGGGGTGGAAGGCGCTCCCCAGAGCTCAGAGACCCCACGCAGCAGCTCCACTGGGTTTTCCCTGCAGAAAAGCCCCCCCAAAGGTGCAGCCACACTGATGGCAGAGGGAGCCGCTCAGCCCTGGGGGAGGGGGTGCAACTTTTTCCCAGCCAGGCAGCAAAAAGGCTGCTCTACAATTACAGCAGTAACAGCGGGGCGAGCAGCTCGTGCTGCAATGGGGCTGAAGGGAAGTTTTGGTTCTCCTCTTCCTTGGCTGGGAAGGAGTGCAGGATTGCGAGCCTGCAGCGGTGCAGCCTGGCTTCTCTCTGTACCTCAGCTGTCGGTACCAGGAGAGCAGCAGATGGCACCGACGCTTTATTTTTAACCTCACGCCCCAGATCTTTTCCTTGCCCTCCCTCGTATCCCCTTTCCCTGCAGCGGTTCGAGTGCCTGCAGCAGCAATCACCAAAAACAAACCGCGCAGGGCAGAAAATAGGGCAGCATTGAAGGCAGATGGCAGCGCTCCTGCAAGCCACAAGCTGGGATTAAAGACCGGAGCAGCACAGAGCTTTGGAGACTCGGTGTCCTCAAATGACTCCAATGACCACCACCAGCTCACGGCCAAGGAGCCCAGTGCTGCTGTCGGCAGCCCCCGTCCTCCCCCCAGCCCATGGGGATGACCCCACTCCAGTGATGGTCACGGGGTGCTGGTGGCGTAACAGGGACAGCGATGACCCCAACGTTATTGAGGAGGAGACAGTGACATTTCCTAAAACTGAATGTAAGACAAATGCTGTGAAGAGTTGTGTGGGCCTGTGCAGGCCTGGCGACTTAATTAGCAATGAGTTGATCAACTGCTAGCGTAGCGTAGGACACTGTTAGAGCTCAGCAGGAGGGGAAGGTGGTGCTGGAGAGACCCACGTCTGCTGCTGCTGATGTAGAGACAATTCTGCATGATGTGTTTGTATTGCAGGGGCCCAACCTTCCGAGCGCGGGCTCCGCGGCTGTTGTACAACGACCATTTCCAATAAAACCTCTTTTAATCACTGCGGCCATCAGAGCGTGGTGAGGGGCTGAGCCCCCGAGCCTGGAGGAGCAAATTCCCTATTGCGTGACCGGTGTGAGCAAGAAAGAAGAGAAAATCCTAGAGCACCACAGATAAGGGGTGAGCAGGAGCTGCAGTCAGCACCAGCCCAGCACTGAGCAGTGAAACGCCACGACAGAGCAGTGTATTAAAATACGTACACTTTAATATAAAGACAAAACTTCAAAGCATTTGTTTCCATTACAAATCAAGGGAGAGACACAAGAAATGAAGTGAGGGGAGGAAAAAAAAAAAACAACCAAAAACTAACAGTGCAGGGCATTAGAAAGGCGGGGGGGGATATATATATTATACGTACATATATACACACCAGAATTTGCACTACTTCTATGGGATGGAAGGAATGATGGGACAACTTACCGGTGTAAAATAAAACGACAACAAAAAGATAAATTAGGGGGAAGTTTGAGTTTTAAATAATTGGGTTTAATCGGCTAAATTATATAAACTAATCCCTATTCCCTAGGAAACATCCCGTATCGCTGCTCTAAGAAAACACGTGGTGGTTGTGGTTTTAAATCCATCCAAAATGGATCGTTAGTAGTAGTTAAAAGGTTTGCTAATCAATTCCTGAGCAACAGCAACCTGGTGACCCGCTGCGTCCCGCCTGGCTCCAACAGAGGGTGAAAAGACCCAACAAGTTGGTTTTAATTGGAGATCGATCGCTTAGGAGATCGCTAGGTGCCAGAAGCCACGCGGGATGGACCAACCCGTCCTCCTCTTCCTCGTTAACCACAGCAGCGAGACCTCGCTAACGAGCCAACCGAGCCAGAAGCAAGCAACAGCTGTACCTTAAAACAACACCAAATCCCAAAGCTGGGAACTTTGGGGTCAGTGCTACGGAACCCGGAACTGCACCAAGGGGTTTTGTTTGTGAAGGGTGAAGATGGAAGAAAACCTCTGCACAAAGATGCAAACAGCAGATGCACCGCAGGGACATTTCCAGTGTGTGCTTCCTGTTTTTGGCGTTGGGGTTAAACCCTGAAGTTCACAGTAACGTCACCTCTCTCACTGCGCCGCTCGGTGTTTCTAAGGCGAAAGGATGAAGAAAATGCGGCACAGCATCACCCTGCACACTGGGAATCCATCTGATGGTGAGAACCCGATATGGAGAAGTCAGAGCACATAAAGGAAGAAAGAACAGCCCCAAAACCTCAACTATTCGTACGCCAACATCTGCACTTCCAAAAAAAAAAACCCTACTTTTGTGGTTTCACCCCTCTGCTGCAGAGCTGCCTCATGAGGACATCGCCTCCTTTCCTGGCAACCCAGCAAACCCAGTTGGTTTGCTGTCCTCTGCACATTGACAGATACTTGTGGGAAGCTCCACCTCCTCCTCCTCTTCTTCCTCTTCCTGGCTCAGGCAACACACAAAGAGCAGAACTTGGGGAACTTCCCATCAAGCTGGGGTAACTCCTTCAGAGAACAAATAATCCCAGATCTGTTTCCTGCAGGAAAAGCACCAATTGCAACACAAAAACCCAACCAGGCAGATGGCAGAACTGACATGGGGGATGCAGACCCGGAGAGCGGCAGCTCAGCAGCAGCAGGGCGGATGTTGCAGGTGGGACGGGATGAACTTGGAGGTCTTTTCCAACCCTGGTGATTCTGTGATTGGAAACCCACCGCTGTGTGCAGCCATCGGGATTTATCAGTGCAGCCAAGTGGGGCCATCAGCTCGCGGCCCTCTGGTCACCTCTTGCAGCACAACAACCATCCAGATTCCACCCCATCCTCAGTGCTATGCAGCTGCAACACCTTTCAGGAGGAAACTGCCCACCCAGACTCCACCCTGCAGCACCACTCCAGCCCAAAGTGCTGGAGATGCAATGGAAGAGCCTACGGAGCTCCGCAGAGCTCACCTGGAAGTCACTCACTGAAGTTTGATTCAAACATAATTAGAAAGAAATCTCAATTCAAAGTGAGTGGCTGTAGCAACAGTTGGGTGATGTGAGGCTGAGGAAGGATAGAGACCAGGAAAAACTTCTTCAGCAAAAGATGGTCAGGCACTGGCATGGGTGGTCACTGTCCCCAGAGGTGTTGGGGAATGGTGATGTGGCACAGAGGGACACAGTCGGTGAGCAGTATTGTGGGAGGTGGACAGCTGGACTGGATGATCTGAGAGGTCCTTTCCTAAATTCATGACTGAGTTTGGGAGCCTCATAGCTCCCGACCCTCAAAGCATTGCAGCAGAAACCGGTGGGAGACGGAGCTCAGACTGAAGAAGGATGAAGATGTTTCCCATCACCATGGTTGTCCACTGCACTGAAGGCAACAGCCCTGCACCCTGAAACAAGAGGCAGCTCGATCCTACAAACCCCCAGAAGGCAGAGCATGCACAGTCTGTTCTGAGGCTGACAATGTGCTGCACAGTGCTCAGGAAGGTCCTTTCATTCTGGCAATGTCCACTGCTGGATGGATTCCGACTTCCTGACTTGCCCCTCACTGGCAGCAGTGGTGTGGAGGAGAAGGAACATTTGTGACGGCCATCCAACGGCTGCACCCGGGCAGGAAGCAGTAACAGAGAAGGAATTCTTTTTTGGAACCGGCTGTACGGCTTTGGTTACTCGCAATTATCTCCAATTATTGAAAACAGGTTTCAGATCTCTGGCAGGCACTGATACATCGCAGTCGTGTGTGTCTCATTGCAGCCATATGGATCAGATCTGAACAGCTCCAGGAGCTGCTCCTCCAGTAGCCCTGGAGATAAATGGGTTGGACTCACTCCAGGTTATGGCCAAGCAGTAAAAGATGGGGACGTGGAGAAGATGATGCAAATCTCAAAGCAACCACAGCGACCACCTCTCCCCGATGAAGTGATACTGGGACTTCAGCCCCCCGTGCTCGGCTTCCCATCTCACACTGCTCACTGGTTTCCATGGCACTCCCAGCAGCACGCCCCAGGGATGAAGACACTCACCATGCTGACACTTGGAGCTCAGCCACCCCATGGGCAGACACCTGCATGGTTTGGGATGAAGGTGGGGGAACAAAAAGCCTAGAACTCCGTCTTGGTCCGCTTTCCATAAACCATCTGCTAAAAGCAGAAGGACTATAAGGATAAAAATGGGAGAATGCAATTAAAGCTCCTGCCTCTCCAGCCATTGCTCATGTTCATCCCCACTCCCAGGACCGGAGTGCAGTGCCAGGAAGGATGTAGGGCAGCTCTGCAGCTCACAGCGGCTCACGGCTGTGAATGAAGATGGGGCTGCCCAACTCCCAGCTGCAACACATCTGGGTTACACCGTCCTCCTGGATTCCAGGACATAAACTCTGTACAGCTCCTACTAGAAGCTACGGATGTTTCTCAGCCATCGCCCTCTGCGTGTTTTTGCCCTTCTCCAGGTTCTCCTCTCACAGCTGTAACTCAGCTGCCTTGTCTTCTCCCACACACAAAGCAAAGTTCCATCCTTTCCAGGGCTACCAATCCCTTCCCTTCCCAATGAACGAGACAACGACATCACATCGACGGTTTCTGCACACAATGGCCGCCTATGGAAGACACACATCGGGACCAACAAATAACCACACACTGAGCTGAATCTCTAAGATTGCAGAGGATGAGGTACGAAGAAAAGGGGATGAGGTACGAAGAAAAAGCTCTACACAGAACCTGCAGAGGGTGGAAGCTGTCAGAGAACGGCTCCTCAAGGAGAGCACGCAAGGACAGAACCATCTCACATACAGAGGCAGCTGAAAGCCATGGCACCCAGCCCAGCTTGTTGTGGCCCCGCGGCACCCATTGAGTCTGAGCACCCATGCAGATGCCCCCAACACCTCCACGTGTTTCTCTTCCCGTCATTCTGCTGTTGCAATTCCCCTTCTTTGACTGTAGTTTCCTTGATTGGTGCTGGGTCCAGCCTGACCTACAGACTGGGCAATGTCTACATAACGGGTCGCCTTTCTCTCCTCGTTTTGTGCACTCGAATAAATAAGTTTTTACACGTTTACTGTGCACTGTACAGTCTAAAAATAAAGGAAATAAAGTATATGAAATTTATAAATTCTCATCACATCTCTATAAAATACAGCCGCTGCTCCGAGCGGCTCTTTCTGTACACAGAACACCGAGTCACAATACAACAAATGCACCAGTTCAATGCACCAGTTCCACCAGGGGCAGCACGGCGAGATGGCGGCGTTGTGAACTACCATTCAGATCCACTTCAAGCAAAGAAATACAAAAAGCAAAATGCACTTAGTAAGACGTCTAAGCCATTTCTGCATCAAGTATCAAAACTCTACCAACAAAATACAATTGACTCGGAACAAAAACGAGCTGCAAAAATCTACCTGCACCGGTACAGAAGCACTATGTTCAGTCTTCCCAATGTCATCTCGAGGGCCTGACCAATCCCAGTGATCGTGCACCCTGTTCATATGCCAATGACATCCCAAAGTGACCAGACCAGCTACCGAAATTCACAGCCTGCAGGCGGCCCAGTGCGGTGGGATGGGGCAGGACTCGGATCCTTCCTGCTCGACCAGGCTGCCCTGGGATCCAGCTGCCACCCCAGAGGGGAGCGCGAGCTCTCATGTGTCCAAATGCAATTAAAACCCACCCGGTGGCTCGGTTCTCCCCGGAGCAAACCGCCGGATGAAAGAGCGCCGCAGCACACGTGGCTGTAAACCAAGTGGATTTGGGGATATGAACAGAGGAAGGTGAATAAATAAAAGCAGACCTGTCTGAGAACTGGGTTTGGCATTGGTCAACCCTCTAAATTCAGCACCAAGGATCAAACTAGAGGCACAGTTCTGACGGATGAAATAGCACCGAGAAGAGGCTCTTTACATCTCTGCTGGTGTGCCAGTCCTCAGTTATTCAGAGAATTTAACCACAAGTTGTATTTATGACTCTAGGTGGAATAAAATAAGTCAAAATTATTTTCACGTTAAAAAAGATAAATACTTTACCTAAACTATCAACAATACAAACTGGAGCCTTAAGTATTTCATTTGCTTTTTTTTTTTTTTCTTCCTTTTTTCTTTTTTTTTTTTTTCCTTTAAACTCAGATTCACAGTAAATATTATTTTCTCTGTTGTTTAGGTCTTTTTAGGTTTGTGTTTTGTCCAGTAGTAAGAGCAGAACCCCTGCACAGGCCAGTGAGCACCTTTCAGTGGAAGCCGAGTGAAGTTGGTCCACGTTGTCCTTGCATAGGTCACATTGGGTTGAGGTAGAAATCCTAGTTACCTGCACAACAGGAGAGGAAGAGACTCATCTCAATGACAAAATCCACAGCGTGTCTGATGTGTCAATCATTTCTACATTGCTCCAAGACCGCGACCGGACCGAGATTTGGGACCTTCAGCCAGCAAGGGAGGAAGAGTTGACCCAAGAGCACTGACAACAGACAGGAGGAGGCCGCTGAGAGTCGGACCCCACCGGGGGGAGGAGGAAGGTCTCTGCCTGCCCACATGGGGCTTCACCCTTTTTTAGCACACACTGATCTGCTCTGAAGTTGTTACTACCTTATGGAGGAGAAGTTAAGCGGATTATTTCAGCCCCTCAACTCTGGATTTCAGCAAGGGCTCTGAGCACATGGATTTATACTGAAGTTGGGGAAAACATTCCAGTATTTGGCTTGCATCATACGGAGCAGCAATGTGTGCCACAGAGCGCCTCCTGGGAGCATTGCTCTGCTCCTCAGAACACCTCCGGACACCTGGCTGCCTTTCAGTGGACTTCAGCCACGTGCCGGCCCTACTTTGGATGGCGTGGCACCAATGGGATGGCAGCTGGTTCTGCAACACCCCAGTCCCAGTTAAGGCACCTCCTTCAGCAGACCTTCCCACCACTCCCCAGAGCCATTCGGGCACACAGAGCCCCAAACCTCCTCCTCCTCCTCTTCCTCCCCCAGCTCTCTCCTACTCAGCCCGCCCCATCAGCACATCAGCATCACTGCGGCCACAGCACAGGGACATCAAATTCCTCCTCGGCTTCCCTGCTGGGCCAAGGTGGCACTTACCTGCCTCACCAATGCCTATGGGGACTACATGTGTGCCCACCGAGCAATTTGGTGGCGAAGGCGCTACACACAATGCACAGCCAAAAGAATCTCTCAGGGATGTTGTAATTGAGGCATATGTTTTATAAGCGGTAAAAAGTATTCAACCATCGATTTTTACGCAGCTTTGGGATCAGTGAACAGCAACAACATCAACGACCTACAGGTAAAGCACGGAGCGAGCTCAGGGCCCTCACACTGCTGGAGCTCTGTGATCCCAAGCTGTTACATCACGATGCCACAGAGCATTTTTCATTACAACAGTGCCCAACTCCGTGCCGGTGCGCTTTATTCTAATGGCATTTAAACAGTGCTTCAATAGAAATGCATACAGCCTGCACAGACCCTCCTCTCTCTTACAGCCCCAACACAAAGCAGCCAACCCTGCACATTCCCTACAGTCTACCCAGGGAGCGAGCAATTGCCAAGTGAGCAATCGTATGATTCTGTAACAAAGCTCTGATGGAGACTGCCACTGTGTGCATATCAAGCTGCAGTGCTCAGCTTGGCTTCTTGGTTTCCTCTTCTCTGCTGCAAATTCTAACCCCCTTTTTGCTACCTGTGGCTGTTTCCCAGGGATGCAGAGGGTGTGCTGACTGCAGTGCACCAGCAGTGCGTTTGCACTCTGAAGCTGCAGCTTGGGACCTGGAGGGTTTGGAACTTTCTGGTTATTGAGCAGCTGTTGTTGGCTGAGGTTGGAAGCAGCATCACTCACCCCAGCGCCATGGGAACACGGACTTGTGGAAGGAGCAGTGTCTGCATTAGAATCATAGGATGGCTTAGGTTGAAAGGGATCTTAAAGATCATCCACTTCCACTTCCCTGCCCTGTGCTGGAGGGGAAACCACCGCCAGTGATCGTATAAAAACCGTAACGTACAAAGACGCTCCTCCTGACTGCTGATCCCCACCTGAACGTAATCCCAACTCAATGGGACAGCAGAGTCAGCACTCCTTGTCGAGAAATCCTGACTCCCAGCCCAGGCAGCACGGAGCTCTGCGCCCTCTGCCACCGCACTACCCCACATTTCAGAGGCTTCTGTCTCACAGCCCGCGCCCACCCCTCTCTGCAGAGGAAGAAGCACCACTCAGCATCTCGCACACCACTCCTGGGGTTCGTCTCTAGCCTTACCTTACAACATAAGAACCGTTAGCTAAGCAAGCTCTTTATCGTGGCTTAACCCCAGAAAGGTGCGAAGCGGAAGGAGGCTGCATGCCAAGCGTGACCCACATGGCGGGCGCGCCGGCGGCCGTGGGCTGCGCCATCGGGGGCACGGACTGTGCCAGCGCCGAGCGGGGCAGGGGGGGGTGGTGGACGGTAAAGGAGGGGCGGGAGGCTTTGTGCTGCAGGGAAGCGAGCTTGATAGACAGAGCGGCGTTAGAGTGGACAGAAGCGGCGGAGGAGGATGGCAGGAAAGCGTCGCCGGGTGGGATGGAGGGGCTGTGCAGGAGGTCGGGGTTAGAAGCAAGCAGAGGGGGAGGAGGGGGCAAGGAAACGTTAGGAGGGGGTGGAGGTGGATGGAAAACAGATTGCACTGGCGCTCTGTTGAGGTGCTGAGCGGCTCTATTCTCGCTAGATGTTACTAAATTAGAGGAGGGGGGTGGGAAGGATGAGGATGAGGTGCTGGCAACAGCCTGCAGGGGGTTTAAGCTTAGCACTGTGCTGCTAGAGACAGCACTGCTGCTGAAACTGGCTCCAAACTGATGAGGAGAGGAGGCAGAAGGCACCGCATGGTTAAAAATACCTGCAAACAGGAGAGAAAAACTCAGCTTCAACAGATGGGCTTTGTACAGTCTCAGGTGACAAGAGAAAACAAAACAAAACAAAAAAAAAAGCAAAATTATAGTAGTTACGGCCCCATACAAAAATATGCAGCATGAGAAGGCAGCAAGCAATGAGAGGTAATGGTGCAGGCCAGGAGGTACAAGAGGTTCACTTACCTTTCCTACTGCCAACCTCTACGTGCCACCAGGACACGTGGTCAGACCCCAGAACTGTCAGTGCCGTACCACACAGGCAGGCTCTGTAGAGATTACGGGGTCTCTCAGAGCCGTGGATCTGAAGACTCAGACTGCTGCTCTTCCCTCCCCACCCTTCCTGCTCTCCCCCATTCACGGGGCAGCGCAGGGGAGACCGCATTTCCAGCAAATCTACGTGCTGAGAGATGTGAGAGTTAGGATTTCCCGACACGGTGCCTGAATGGTTACGGATGGGTAAGACACACTGCCTGCCCTGGACAGTGAGCTGGGACAGGCTGCGTGCTGCTCCTGCCAAGCAGAACCCCAGAAGCAGAAGGTGCATATGGCACTGCCCTTCCTGGCAAAAAGATGCTCTCGGTGTCTGTTCCAGAGCCAGAATGCTACGCAATTCCCAACGCCACTTCCTCAGATGTTTTTGCTCTTCCTGGATCATACTCAGTGCTAATCCCAACCTCTACACAAGCTGACAGAGCTCCTTTCACTTGGTGACACAACGGGTTAAACCTTTTACCTGCAGGTAGGCCTAGGCTGGTTCCAACACAGCAACATCTGAACAAACATACATTATGAAATCACAAAGTCGGGTGTATTCTTTCATTGAGGTGATACAACAAGTGGACAAAGCTCATGGGATTTCACTGTGGGGCAACGGGCTCATCTTAATTTCGGAGGGAGAGAAGAGACGTGTTATGTGGAATAGGCCTGCTTGACATCCTGTGGAAGTGAAAGGGTTTCAGCCCTGGAGAGGCAGCGTCAGACTTTCCTTTAGGCCCTGTCTTAGACCAGAGAAAGAGTTCTGCCTACCTCCAACTGTTCCACCTGTAACCCCAGGAGAGAAGCTCCCCATAGTGTGAGAATTAGTCAGTCTGGTTGCAGCTGACGACACGTGGACCAGACTGGCAGCAGCTGGCATGGAATTAAATAAGGACTGCAATACTGAGGAGTTTGTCACCGAGTTGAGGTTGGCTTGCAAGGCCATAGGGCCGAGGGGGAACTGCGATCCAGTGGTCAAAGTGTTGAGGAAGGGATGGTGCGTCTGCACAGACGATGCTGGGTTGCCTGCTGAAGAAACAGCAGTAGAAAGGCTTTTCCCATTCAGAAGGCCACCAGACGAAACAGCAGCAGAAATGAAAAGGTTATGGCCGTTTTTAAACTCCACGTCTCGGTCCCTTCCTTTGCCAACCTTTCCGTTATGCTGCAAAGAGTTTTTCTCCGAAGAACCCCCCGCACGAATGCTCATTTCACTCATGTCTTTGCTTTTGACTCCTGCCCGGCTGAGGTCTTCCCCCTTGGCGCCGCCGAGGCCTTCGAGCTGCCTCTTGTTCAAAAAAGGATTTGTTTCTGATATCCCCACGTCTTTGCTCCGCTGCGACTGGAAACCCAGCGAGCAGGCGGCAGCCGTCCCGTCCGAGGCCTTGTGTGGAAGAGAAGCACCATCGATAAAGCTGTGTAAACCAATGTCAGTCGACAGCCCGCCGTTGTAGGCGAACCCGTTGGTGGGGTTTGTGCTGGGGCTGAGCCCATCTGCCCCCGACGAGGGCATGGCCATGCCTTTCCTCGTGTGCGCCATCTTGGCGTCCATGGCGAGGCTGTCCTCGGAGGACGGCCTGAAGGCAAACAGCGAATTCTGGCTCAGAGACGACACAGACTGCAAGGGACTGTCCGTGGTTTTGGTCAGGTTGATGTCAGATATTGGTGAGAAAGTAGATTTCCATTTACTGCTGTTCATGTTCTCGTTGGGTTGTGCTTGTTTCCTCCCAGATAAGCTGCCACCTGGTTTGGAAGAAAGGTTTCTAAATATCAAAAGGCAGTTTGCACTGAACCTGCTCACTAAAAACGTAGGTTTTGCCTTCAACACCTGGATTTTATCCGCCTGTAATTCTATTCCTCATCCAAAAGCAGAACACCTGTGAAGTCACCTACGCATCCTTTAAATTTAGCTTCACATCTGGTAAGTTTCGAGAACGCTGATCTGCTCTTGCTCTACGGATCCCTCCCCAAGTCCTAAGATGGCACAACACAACTCATCGGATCTCTGGTGGCCTGTGACTAGAGAAAGAACTGACCCAAGATCTGTAATTATCAGCCACCTGTCTTAATTACGATAACACAAAGCCCTGGTGGGATGGCACTCTGCTCATCAGCCTTCTATTAACAACACCTTCAGCCACCCACTCCCCAGCCCAACCACCGTCCCAAGCAGTTTACATCTCTCACACCCACCATTTTCGACAGTCTTCTGTGGAGATTTGCTTTCCAGCGATATCGTTGCAATTTTCCTCTCGATCCTGGTGGGAAAATAAAAAGGTTACAGCACTCACCGCAGTCGTTTGCTTTCATATTTACCCTCAGAGCCTCACGTTCACATCCTAACAGTTGACTGAAGCACATAAGGCCAAGGCTCTACACGGGACAGGAAAACCATTTAGAAATATCCACTGGAAGCTCAGCAGAAGCTGTCACAGACTCTGTGCTGTTCGCCAAGGTCGATGCCTGCTCAGAGCACGTCACCACTGCTCTTTCACAAGGTTGGTGTCATTCATGCACGCTCACCTGGTGCTGTTGTGCTCATCTTCAGATCCCTGCTCGTCATCTGACGTGAGAGGGGAGTAATGAACGCCGTTGCTCTGAGTGAGGGGCTTTTCCTTTTTCAGTACCGGGGGCTGGTCGTTGTCCTGGTAAGGAACAGGAGAGTTCTTCAGGGAGTTTTCAGGAGAGGAAATGGCTGTTATTTCTAAAGGCTGGTTAATGTTATTGACCTGGGCAAGAAGGAAAGAAAGCAGTTACGGGTGAGAGCACCGCTTTAGAAACAAGGCGTCTTGTTTAGGATATGAACGCACTCAGCTTCAGGACAGGCCAACTTGGCACTGCCACTGCTCTCCCCCAGCACCATGCAGCAGAGCCCAGGATGAAGGCTTTAAGACAACTCGGGAAAATATCTTATTTTCATCATTTGATTTTATGTTTGAACGCAGAAATGAAGACACGGCAAAACGACATTTCTTCTCAAACTGCCACTGCAGGATCCCACGAGCACAACTTGTGGAGCTGGCTTATTAACGTGGGAACACCATATGCTTCTGGCACTCGTGAGCTGTTTAGTCAATCTTAGCTTAAACTACATTCAAAATATTTAATCTACAGGATAAAAAAGAAAAAAGAGCAACTTCACTGTAAAAACAAGCTCTGCTGGAAGAGGCGAGATTGCTTGTTAATTTTTAGTGCTGTGACAGGAAGAACTCTTTGGAGACGTCCTCCAAAGGCATTCAGGGCCATGGAAGGGCCCTGGGCAGCCTGGTGGGGGCACCCAGCCCTTGGAGAGGGGTTGGAACGGGGTGAGAACCTCTCTGTGATATCTATACCAAAGCAGCTCCCTAACATTCAGCAGCTCTCCTGGCCTTCAGAGGGGCCGTTTCCAGGGAGGGTCATCCCTCCAGTCCCAGCCAGCAGCCCCGCGACGGCCTCACGCCTAAGAAGAAAGCAGCGGAAGCTGACTTCTAACTCCAAGAAATCTCCCCAGCCCTCTCTGCAGCCCTTACCATGGAGTTGATGTTGAGCGGTGAACCCGATGGCTGCGTAAAGAGTCCAGACACAGCGGGCAAGGATTTGCGTTTGGGGGAGACCCCGGAGCCCCCGCTGAGGTTCCCAGTGGAGGATCTCTTCCGCCGGCCGCGCTTCTTCCCGTCCTGCGCGTGTGCTGGGCCGCAGTCCAGCCGAGCGCTCGCGGGCAGAGGGCTGTGCTTGGTGGAAGGGGATTGTTTTACATGTCCTGTATTAGGAGAGATTGTAAAGATGATTCTTCTCTTGGCCTCGTTCTCAGGATCTGAAAATGCTGCATCAGACTGAAGATCCCCCTTTGTTCCATCGGCAAACATCTTCTGAGCATCTGCATAGTGCAGTCCCCCTACCAGGCTCTGGGAGGTGCCATTTAACCTGGGGCTTGCTGAGTGCTGGTGAGCAGGGGAGCTTTGCCCAGAGTTCCTCGACTGCATCATTAGCAAAGGATGTTGTGGAGTGGAACTCCGAGACCCTACTGAGTTAAACAGACTCCCGGAGTCGTCCAGAGCTGCCTGATCAACACTATGGTTAAGATGGGCTGGGCTGTTTGTAAGATTTCCATTGACTGCCACGGAGCCAGAAGAGTAAGAAAAACCTGTTGAAAGGGAAAGTATACATCACTGCTTCTGCTGAGCGATAGGTCACAGTGCTAGATGTGTGGGATGGCTGGGGCTGGCTGGCCGTGCAGTTGGGATGCTGGCTCTGCACGCTCACAGTTCCACTCAGGCCGTAACAATTTGCTCTGCTCTCTCATCAGTGTTGTATGGAGACAGCCTGGAATGGAACCTCCAGTGAAAGGTTCTTGTACACTGTTACACCTCCTGAAGTTGGGGCTCCTGTTTCTCTGCTCCTTCCTATCATCGAGGAAATAAGAGGGGCCAAATTGAGTTGGTTTCCTTCCTCGAAAATAAGGGACTCTGCCTATACAGCCCAAGTCCTGCTCAACGCTAAACAAACAGCAGTGGCTTCCAAGTGATGGGATCTCACTGCAGCACAATGCCATCTGGGATAAGCCTGGGAAGGGGATGAGGTGTTTGTCATGGCATATCACAAATGGGTTCAGTGCTCTAGGAAGGCCTCGTCTCCGGGCTGCCTTCGTGGAAAGGGCAGAAGGGAATACAGTACTGTTTTACATCAGCTTTTGAATAATTCTTTGCTTGTGTAGAAAATTGCAGCCAAGCCCTTCTTTGCAGAACAGATGCTAGAAACAACACAAGCCCCTCAAGGTGAAAAACACAAAGAACAAATGCACTCTGATGAGGGATCAGCTGCAGGGCAGCTTCTGTATGCAAGAACCTACGTTTCTCAGTCCACAACATTTCCATATCCTGAACAGCTACAGGCCACAATTCCAACAGATGGGCGAGCTCAGAAGTGATGTCTGTACTTAAAGGCATCCCTACTCTTCCCCTTGTTTCCCAGATTCTGGTGCCTTTACAGATGCTCATGAGACATCACTGCGATTTCCTTAAAGGAATTAATTGTAGTATTAAAAAATAAATAAAAAACCCTCCACCACCACCCTGCAAAAGAGAACTTTTCAGGTGACAGTTCATAGGATAGCTGTGGAATAGCTTGGATGGCTTGCAACTTGCAGAGATCAGAATCTCTTCATCCACAAAGAGAAATGTACAAAAACCCAACCACCGCAGCTCAGATAAAGACAGACTCCAACGAAAACTCCACACTGAAACCTATCCAAGCTGTAGGCACTGTTCTGACAGGCTCAGAAGATGATAATCTGTGATCCTTTGGTCTGGTGACAAAGAGCACACCTCCCTAACGCTGATCTGCCCGGAGTGAGCTGCTCCCAAAACTCCAGGTGTGTGCCCACGTGCTGTGACAGAGCACCTCCGCGCCGCTGAGGCTGTTACCTGAGGTAGCCAAAGCCAGTGGCTTGTTTCCAGCAGCATTGCTTACACCATTATGAGAACTAGCACCAATCTGCTTTTCAAGTGTCGATGAGTCTCTGCTCTGATGAACTGGGCTAGGTGTGCTTCTCTGCGGGGCAGAAACAGGAGCGTTAGTGCAGGAAGGGTACTCAGAAGTCACCCGTTTAAACAAAATTCACATGCAGTAGGAGATTACCAGGGAAAGCAGCTCTAATCCCTGGATAGCCCAGATTTATCATGTTTTGAGAAGAACACAGAGCGTTACGGGACACAAAGACACGCTGCCATCTGCTGCAGTGCGGCGGCACCCAGCGTGAGCTCCACACCGTGCACACACAGGCTGTTCCAGCCTCAAGTTGGGCTCATCCCTCACAGCTGGGACGTCGCCCACAGACCACCCAGCTGAGGCAGGAACAGTCCTGTGGCGCAGGCAGGAAGGCGTGGGGGCTACAAACAAATCAATTGACAAATGGGATTCCCAGCTCCCGGGGCCACAAACCCTCAGAAGCTGCACTTTTCTCAAGGCAAACACTCAGCCCGTCAGCTCGAGGCACACACTTTGCTCTTCCTCCTGGCTCAAAGTACCACCGCTCCACAGACACAGGAGCACGGATAAGAGCCAGCAGGATGAACCCCAGCAGCAGCACAAAGCACTCAGGATTAGCAGCCCGCTATGGATCCCAGCACACAGCACCCCATTTCTGCCCCCCGTGATGGCACTGAGGGATGGAAAGCACTGATAATGCCTTACTCACCACCTTCTCAACACGGCTAGGCAGGACTACGCTGGCCAGAGGGATGCTAACAGGGAGCTTATTGGGCTGCACTGTGCTGAGAGGAATACTGATGGGTAGGCTGGTGATAGTTTCTCCATTACTCACAGAGGTTCTCTCTCTCAAAACCTGCGAATGCAAATGATAAAGTCATGTTCTCAACTGCAAGCTGTTACTGAAGAGACATTCTGAGCTAATGGCAATGTGCTTGTTTAGATTTTGTTCTTTTTTCTTTTCTCTTATTAAGAATTACATAATTAAGAGCGATAACTATATCACTATATACGCTCTGGAAAGCCAGAGCACGCATACAACACCAATACACCAGGACAGAAATACCCAGCAGCACAGAGACATAAATTAAGGCTCCTGCTGCCCCTAAGCATAAGGGAAAGGCTGCCTTAAGCGAGCTCCTGCCCCAGTCACAGATTTGTCACAGCTCTGTGAAGAGCACTCAGCTGGCTGACTTCATAGCCTGAGATCCTCTGAACACAGAAGATGGAGCAGTCGGAAACATTTCCATGGTAACCTCCTGTTGGAGGGCACCTGCTTGCTCTGAAATGAGCACCATGAGGATTCATGGCAGGACCGATTGCATGCTTGATTTTTTTACTTTCTTTTTTTAATACAAAAGGCAGTCTGGTTTTCAAGTCGAAGCAGACACTCAGCAGACCAATACAGCTCTACTGCATTACCAGCATATTTGGTATGCAAACCAGCGAGTCAGAGGTGAGCACATCTTACATGGGCACCATATTCTCTTCCTCTAGCCAGTTCCTCTTACTTACTGCACCACGATTCCTGCATTCCGTGTCATTTTCCATGCCAAGCTGACCACAGACCAGAACATGTCTGCTTCTCCCAGCCTGGAAACCTTCTCTTTGTTCTAGCAGCTGTCAAGTCTCCATGCTCACACCAAAGCAGATCTCTTACCTTCTCGCCTGCAATCGGTAAGGCCGCTGGGGAAGAGGGCCGAGTTTCCTGAGGACTCAGCTTGATGCCATTGGAAATACTGGGGCTTGGATATGTAAGGCCGTTCTCTTTGACATGGTCAGCTCTGCAACAGAGGTTTGCCATCATCAGAATACAAAGCTAACAAATTCTGCTTTGCAAATACTCCTGCACGAAACCCAAGGCACCACAGCACCGTGTTTACCCAAGCAGCTGAACTGCTGGTTGTGCTGAGACAAAAACTTTAAGTGAACAGAACTCTACCTTTGAAAGTATTTTTCCACAATCCAAATAAACCACTGTTATTAAAAGTAATCATTGAATGGCCCAGGTTGGAAGGGACCTCAAGGATCACGAAGCTCCAACCCCCTGCCACACGCAGGGCCACCAACCTCCCCATTTCACAGCAGCCCAGGCTGCCCAGGGCCCCATCCAATCTGGCCTTGAACACCTCCAGGGATGGACGGGGCATCACAGCCTCTCAGGGCAGCTGTTCCAGCACCTCACCACTCTCACAGCAAAGAACGTAGTCAACTTAATGAAGCCCTTCCATCAAGAGACGATGGCTCTCACCTCTGCATCTCACTTGTTGTTGCTTTTCCATTGACTGCATGGTCTTGATTCAAGTGTCTCCTTAGTGCTATTTTAGCAGGGGAAAACCTGGTATAATCAGGTAAGGACAGGCTTGCCATCCTGTCTGCCTTCTGCCTGCTGTGGTTTGGGGTGCATGGAACTATTTCTTGGTCCAGATGAGAAGTCATGTACTGAGGGGTGTTCTGCTTGGAGGACGGCCTGCTGAAAGTGTTGTGAATCTCATAGGGAGTTGCGTGGCCGTTCATGGACAGTTCAGGGCTCATGCCATTGACATGGGGCATAGGAAACTTGGAGCACTCGAGCTCCAGCTGGAACCTGCCATGATCAGCCTCAGCATCACGGCTCAGATGGGTTTTATTCCGTAGCTGCACTGACAGTGACTCATCCGACGGCGTGTACGATTTCAGCTGCATCAGCTCCTGCTGCCTTTGGCTCTTCTCAAGTTCCACAATGCTGATCTTTAAATAAAGAAGAGGACAATGATAAAAGACCACACATAATAACTCTAAGGCATCGCAGCTCTGCTTCAATGCACCTCGCAGAACGAGTGACCCCATCTCTGGGAACGATGCAGCAGGGGTGACCCGTGCTTTGAGGAACAGATTTCAGTGCTGCTCTGAGCCACAGCCGAGACGTGCAGGGAAGGGGAATGGCTCAGAAACTCTCACATTTCACATTCTGGAAGCAAATAAAATGTCTCTGATATAATAGAGAGAATACAGAATAACCCAGTAGTGTCAGTCTCTGAAGTCACAGAGTCACACTCGGTTGGATTAGCTTTAGAATTACACAAAGAAGTGAAATTCTTTCACATTTCGTTTCACTGCAGCGACATTCTGTGGGACCTCATTCCAGAAATGAGACTTCAGAAGACTTTATCTTGAAGCCACATACTATGCATGTATAAAGCAAGACCTTTCTTTTCACCAGGCCATGCTTTTAAATGACGTTTAATGATACATCATGATTCCTTCTTCCACAACATTACCAGAGAACGAGGTCACAGCATCTACTTTCTTCAACAGTTATCCACATCCTTGTTCTCCAAGCTCACCAAATCCCTCCTAACAACAGGGGCTGATCTCCAGATAAAGCAGCCACCAAGCTTACCCCCTAACACCATATTCAGCCAAGCACTCTCATTGCCCAGGAGCTGCCCTGGGTTGGTGATCCTGGAGTTGTGTTTTGCTCTGTACCTGCAGTTCCAAACAGTGCTTTTGTTTCTCAGAAATCTGATTCTTCAGCGCCTGCTTCTCCTTCAGCAAGTTCTCCAGTGACAGCGTGGACCAATCTAGCTTCAGCTCTTCACAGCGTGCCTTCAACTGCAGAGACATGAGATAAAAGGATCAGAGACAGCTCTCAGCATTTCACACTGCTACAAGGTGAAAGGCACTCACCTCTCAGTAGGGTAACAGCAAGAAGGTTCTTAACGGGCCCAAAACTCCTCCCAGCTTAAGCCAAAGGGGCACAAAAGGGCCCTGTAGCATTTGTGTCATGTGGGAGGAGGTGAGCTGGGTCGTTTTCAAACCAGTTATCACTCACCAGACCCACGACCAGATCTCCCCCTGCCTACCTTAAAGTCTGAGTTACTGAGATGAAAACTATGAGCAAATCAGCTCATGCTCTTTCCCCCTCGGATGAATGACAGCATCACTGCTGCTCAGACACAAGCTCTGTACGCACCAGCTGCAGGCTCTGGTTCCTGAGTTCACTGTTATCCTTCTCCAGCTGTTTGGTCTGTTCTTTCAGCTGCTGATTGTGAGCAGAGATTTCCTTCTGTGCCTGAATCAGGTCGTTGTATGTCAGAGCCTTCACTCCCAACTAGGACACAGGAGCAGGGGGGAGAAGGAAAGAGATGGCTCAGTAAGGCCTTGACACACCAATTCCAGATAATGGCCCATTCAAAAGCAAGGCTGAGGAGAGCTGCAGCTCCCAGGAGCCCCCCTGCACCCCCGAGGCACTTAATTATTATTAGAGGATGAGGAAAAGGGACAGAAGTGCATCATTTGGAGCTGCTGTTCAGCCTTTAACCTGGAAATTGGCATTTCATTTCTTGCCAGTCCAGAGCACTATTTTTGTACAGAGCCTCTACACTTCCTCCTGCACTTCCAACCCAAACTTTATCAAAGAGTGAAAGAGATTCCATACGATTTAGCAAAAAGGAGGCTGCTCTGAGACCTAGCACTACTCTGGCCTCATTTTTCCCCAACCCATCTGCATGCAGATGACCACAAGCACACGCTGCCACCAGACCACAGTCACCTCATCGAGCTTCTGCTGAAAAAGACGTTTGATTTCCTCTTTCTGTGCCTGGCAGTGGGTGAACAACTGCTGTGCCGTCCCCAGTAGCTGTGCATTCTTCTCCTGGAAGTGGGAAAAGACACAACACACCTTTAGTACCAATGCAGCACGGTCCAGCTCAGTAAACTGTTCACATTTAGTCTGCACAGCAAACTGGGAGTGAATCTGAGACCCGTGAACAAACCCAGCTCTGTGAGCTGCATTTGTCAGCTTTGCTGAATATAAGGAAGCTGGAAACAGCTCTGAAGTAGTTTCTTCCACTCAATGGTAAAACATAATCAGGACAGTCTTAATTCATTTTTACCCTCCTACTGCATTGTAAAGAAGTAGTAATAATCACATCCTACAGAGCAGAACTGGAACAGATTATCTGCAGGAAATCTGTTACTAAAAAGGGAACAGAATCCGAATCTCCAGAGCCCCTGCTCAGAGTTTTCCTACACAGCACTCAGCAAATGGAAACACGCTGTGGGGGAGGTGGGAGGAAAGCCAGGAATCAGGCAAAGCACTGGGAGCAGTGATGACAACACAACGCCTGCAGCCACCAGAGCCCTGTGCTGGCAGAGCACCTCCTGCCCATTGCATTCCTCAGCTCGATACTTGCTTGCTCATTTCATGGTCACACACACGTGGGCAGCAACGTGCAGGGATGGGGCTGCCTGAGGAGCCTCATTTTTCAGCTCCCCGTAGAAAGGGAGAAAAAAGTTCCCACTTTTCTCCGACTTCTGCTGTTGAAGCCAAACAGGAATTGTGCAGAAACTGAGCTGTGAATCCGGAGAAAGAGGAGGAGAAGGGCACAAAGTGTCCTGATCTTCCAAGCAGTCCATTCTGATCCAATGCATGCAAGAAAACACCGGGCCCAGCGGGCAGCTGAGTGGCTGCAGTGCTACCCTGACCTCCCCCGTGCTGCTGGTATGGCTGCTCTGCCCAGCACCAGCTGTCTCCTTCAGCCTTGCCAGACAGCCAAGCAGCTGACAGCTCCATCTAAGGGTACTCAGTGAACCAGCAGCTCACACAGCTTATTTTCAAATTGTATTCACAAAGGTTTTCTCTTGTACTGTAAAAACCCTCATGTTAGAGGGACTTATTGAACAGCACACAGCAGTGCCTCGCCCTGAGTTCTGCTGCTGGGAAGTTTACCTAGCTGTGCTCTGAACACGGAGCTCTGAGTGCTTTAATGGAGTGCAGCAACCCCATTAAAAGCATCTTTTCATCCTGAATTTCCCATTTCCATGTCAAAGTACAAAGCAGCTGTCAGGCACCAATGTGAGCCCATTACCTTCCCCCACTTCAGTTCTGTTTCCAGAGCACAGCACCATACCTGCACACCAACGCTTCTCATTCTGTTTTCTGGGCAAGGAGGTGAGTTAAATTTATGGTGACTTTTCTGACAAGTACAGAACAAGAAGGGAAATAGGCTGCTTCAGGAAAAAGCTGAAAAATAAACTGCAACAACCATAGGGAAAAATCCATCTCCAGGAAGAGCACAGCAGCGCCAACTCATCGCCAGCAGCGAATGGGGCAGCACAAGTTGGCCCTTCTCAATTGGAAGAAGAGTTCCCATGATGGAAGATCCCATTATCACAGGGACTGGCTCAGAAAGCACTTAAATTATTCACTGACTGAGGTGAAGCAGTACAAGAAAGGCTGTTTCAGCAGTAAGTCTCCTCCCTCTGCTGGAGGAACCGCTCCACAGCACAGTAAAACGCAGCACTGGGCAGCAGCTCTCGGCCCATGTGCACAATACCACGAATTTCAACTTTTCCCACCCATGTAATCTTTACATATTGGCATTATTAAGTGATCAGACAGAGCATCCTTTGCCTGGGAGACAGGTGCATTTATTTCTGACTGCAGGCTTCAGTTTGCCACACGTTTAATGAACCATTCTGATGCTCAAGCACTCAGGATTCGTTGAGGCTTTGAAAAGAGTAAGATGTCAAAAACCAGAAGCTTCCTGCATGTGTGCACACAGCTCTGAATGTCAAAAAAGAGGGAAAAACAGAGAACTGAGGCAAGCCTTCCCTGGCCATGTGCACTGCAAGCAATGCATCTTCCCAGTTTGCAGACAGGACATTCAAGCATGCAAAGACTGACGAAGCCAGCAATTAAACCCCCATGCATTCATCCTGATTAGCACTCTGGCTGAGTCTCTGCCATCAGCCTGTGCTGCACTGCTGTTCAGATGCACACAGCATCATTTCCAGGTATCTGGTAGCCCAGCAGTTTTGCTTAGAAGCATGATAAATACATATACACCCACCTTCTCCTGCTCCAGTAACTGTTGCAGACTTGCTTTATATTGAGGAGTTTTCATGTATGCCATGAACTGCATGTACTGGATCTTAAAAGAGTCTGCAAGGAAATAAGGAAATTATGTATTTTAAGCATAAGAAAGCTTCTGTTTTGGTCCATTTGCTCCCCTGCCCCCCAGGCCCTGCACTCGCTGGCTTTTTGTTTGGACTCCCAGTCAGACCAAGCCATTAAAGATCAATGTAAAGCATGCTGAAAACAGCCCCCTGAGTGCAAGCTGAACTCTGGGATCCATCAGCTGCTTTTCATAGGTAACCCAATGGAAATTATGTGAAGTGCACTCAATAGTGAAGCTCAGAGGAAGACAGTGGGTGCTAACGGTGTGCTTGCATGATGAAAGGGGAGTTTGCTTTTAATACACCGGCAGCAGAAACAACACAAGACCAGCTATGAAAGCCCAAACCCTTTCTCCAAAGATTACTTGCAGTAATCCTCACCCTCCTTTTACTTCTATGATGCAACACACCTTCCTCAGCCCTCCTGGGACATTACATCACAGCAACCACACCATTGCAGCCATCCTGCTGCAATCACAGGCAACCCGTGCACGCAATGGGCACTGCAAAGACTTTTGCATCAAGGTTTCCTCCAGAGAAGTGTCAAATTCAGACAGCACCTCATTTTTGTTTGACTTTGCTGTGCATTTTACAGGGAAAACAGAGCTGCTGTCATTTAAGAGAATGGCTTCATTTAAACTAAAGTCATTTCTGATGAGCTATTTGCACTGAAAGCTATTTGGGATTCCTGCTAAACCCCAATTTTTTCCCTTTTGTGCCAAGCTGAAACAAAATCAAAACCAAACACAGACCAAGACAGCAACTTCAGCAGCAAGATGACCCCCACTCTTCTTCCTCTTCTGCCACAGTGTCTGCCCATTAAAAGCCCTCTATGTTTAGAAACCCCAAAGTAAAGGTCTCCTGCACAAACAGTGATGCCACAGCCTTACCTAGCAGCTTCTGTAGTGCAGGTGGGGTGGGTGTCACCAGCAGCTGGTTGGATGAATGCCGTTGCACTTTAGGAGGTAGTTGGTAATATGGACTATGAGGTGACTTGTATGCATCTGAAGGGAGAGACACGACAGCCTTTCAGTTGGGAAGGGCACAGAAGTTTTACCATTCCAAAGCATTCACCTGCAGTGAGATTTGGTAACTGTGCTGGACAGACACACTGCAACCAATTGTTTGGAAGGGCAACTGCAGCGCGGCCTCAGAAGGCAGCAGTGAGAACAGGGCAGCTCCAGCTCCTGGCCAAGCACCTCCAGGCTCACAGAGGCACACCTCCACTTTGCTTTGGTGGTAAGGGAGAAGGTATGGCACAAACCACACTAAAGCAGCACTAAGGAAGAATGAGCTCAGTGCATCCGTTATTTATGCTCACACAGAGGGACAGGCTCCTCTGAACTCACCCTGAGGAGAGGATGAAGATGTCTGTGACACAGTTTGAGCATGCAGAAGTTCTAGTGCAGTTTGGTTCTTCTTGGTCTTGCGCTCTGTATTTGCAGTGTTCATTTTCTTGGGACGCCCTCGCTTCCTGCCTGCCATTTTCCTTCCTTTTTTGCTCAGTTTTTTCTTCCGTGCTTTAGAGGGAGATGGCTTTTTAACAGCATTTGCCCCAGCTTTTTCTTCTTCAGCACCAGAATCCTAAGAGATTTTTGTAAAAGCAGAAAGCCCTTCGGTTATTGCTACCTACACAAGCAGCATTTCTTTTAAGCAAGCATTCATAACTTTGTTTAACACATTCATGAAAGTCAACTGTTCAACAGGTTGCCAATGAACTCAGCTTGCTTGGAACTAGAGCTGTCCCCAGCAGCCCAGAAGCTGTGCTAATTCCCTCACTGCAGAAAGCCAAGTTTAACTCTTGTCTAAGAAGAGCTGGTTGCTCTCCTGTTGACTCCACAAGTCAATACAAGTCCTGCATAGCCTTCAACTGACTTCAGTGAACATCAGAACAGATCCTCGTGTTTGTGCACAGACACTGCATTTCAAACAGAGTCACACAACTGAATGAGAGAGGAAATGTTGCCAAAGATACTCAGCAACCCTGAGCAAGACTCAAGGAAGAGCTCTCCAAGCAGCACTGAAGGCAGCTCAACCAGCTCTGCCATTCATGTGGCAATGCCTTTTTTTTGCCCCAGAATTATCAGGGCAATCCCCAAGTGTCACTCAGTCCTTTCCTCAGCAACAGTGACAGCAGTTCACACTGAATGCATTCCCCCTGCAGGACAGTCACCTTGTTTTCTTGAACCTTTGTTGGAGTAGTTGTGTTGCTCTTGTTTTCTCGCTGTTGACGACGTCTAGCTGCCTCTTGTTCCTCCTGAACAAACGTTTTAGAAGAGTCAATGACTTGTTCCTGTGTTCCTCCCTTTCTAACACAGATCCCTGCCTTTCCTCTCTTGGCCCCAAACTCTCCCCTCACTCCACCCCACCTTCCCAGACCACTCACTGCAGTTCAAGGTCCCTTACTAAGCACTCTACCCACACATCCAACATTTCCTGTACCACTACATCACTACAACAACAATCTCATGTGATTTGAAGTGTCAAACCATTCATCATCGCCCCATTCAACCTTCACCAGGTCTGCACAGCAGCAACTTCTCAGCTTCATTTTCTGCTAGGCATACAGACAAGGAATTTCACTCTGCTCATAACGTCTTCCTGGTACCTTCCAGGTGAGGTTAAACTTGCATAAAGATTCAGACACCTTCTGCAATCTGAGCAGTGTATCATCCAGGCTCTATAATAAATGGCAGATCGAGGCATCCTCCCTTTAAAAACAAGGTAGTTCTACAGCACATGGATGCCACCTGATTTTCAGTTTCTTTTTGCCCCTCGACTCTGAGAAGTCTTTTCTCCCAAGCTTGAACAGTCTGCAATAACCGAATCCCAGGTCTGCTTGCAGGCCTTGCTAAGTAAATCTATGTTCTCCCAAAGTTTTAAGCTTCACGGCCTTGTTTTATCCCATCACTGGGAACATCACTGCCATCAGTTGTTTCAGCTGGATAAAGCCCAACAGAGCCCCCAAAATCCTTTGGCACTTTAATTCCACGTGTGACAGCACAGACCACAGTGACTGCCAACACATCCTGTGCTCCCAATGGAAGTCCCAGCAGCGTCAGCTCAGAGCACTCCTCACTTCCATGCAGAGGAGCACTGGGAAAGATTCAAACTATCATTTCCTCCTTAAAACTTCGGTGCTTTAATGAACAAATAGCTCTCTGTAGGTCTCCAGGGCAAGTGAACAACACCTGGAGGCTCCCCATTAATTAGCCATTATAGAGCTCTTGACTGTGATTGTATTAGGGCTCGATGGTGTGTGATGCTTCACTTCAATTAGCTCCATGCACACCGTTCCTCACTTAGCAAGAAGATTTAATTTTCTACCCATTCTGTACACCCTGAAGAAGTGACCGAGGCCCTCCTGCTGGCTTCCCCATTACTCTGAATTTTCTATAGAAAACAGCTGAGACTTACCCTGAGTTTTGGATTTTTGAGACTAGAAAAATAGTTTTCAAGCTGCAAACACAAAGATGATAATTTTGTAAGTCAAGACTGCAGAACACATAAGAATAAACATTAATTTAAGATAAATGCAGAAATTCTGACTGCTTCTCCCCCAGTAAAGGACACGGGCAGGACAAAACCCAACAAGGCTCTACCAGCTCCCCACGGCCCATCCTCAGCTTGAAGCTTTGTGAGACCTACCTGCACTCAGCAGAAGGCTGTGTGCAGCAAAGCTCCTTCACTTCACCCAAATATTCACCCACACTATGGCATATCCTCTCCCAAAAGCACTATCAGACTGAAGCAGGCTTAGAAAATATCTTACTCTCCTACAGCAAGAAGCACCGGTAAGTTGGTGCTTCTACAGAGTTGTTTTTGTTTTCTTTAATAAATCATAGAATGGGTTGGAAAGGACCACGATGACCCTCTAGGTTCAACCCCCCTGCTATATGCAGGGTCGCCAACCACCAGACCAGTGGAAGAGAAGAACAGTGGATGCATCAGCACTGCCACTGAGCTCTGCTCAGTCCTACAGAGCCCACAAAGCAATCAGAATGGAGAAGGACTGCTGAGGAGCAGCGTGCTGCAGCGCTGTGTGATGCTGACACGTTGGCTCTGTGCAGGGGCAGCAGGCAGAGCCCCAGCCTGCAGTGATACTCACTATGGTTCGGTCAATAGTATGCAGGTAGTAAGAGACTGGCTTCCCAGTCCACGACACAGAGCCTTTCAGTGGTGACAGCTCCACGACTCTCATTATAGTGCCAATATCTGCGGGAAGAAAGGGAAGTTATTCACTCACTGCATGCACCCAGCAGAAAACCTAGGAAATTCTGAAGCTCTACCCTGTGTCTTGGACTGCTTACAGAACACCATTAATCCAACCCACGTAAATGGCACTGTATTCAGATTGAGGACAAACCAGTTTGACATTTGCTTTCTCACCCATGTTTGTTTTGTTCCCTAGAATTAAGAGGTCTGGGACGTGCCCGAATATTTCCAGAGCCACTGAGTATGGAGGCTGCCTCTGTCTTCAAGCTTTATGCTTTCCACTGTGTTTTTTAAACTGTTTCACTGCTCATCCTTGAAGGCAAAGCAGCAGCCAGGCGCAGGGGCACCAACCCCCTCCCAGCCAAACCTCCATCAGCTACTCCTCCATCACTTCTGTACCAGCATGACACAGCAGCTAGAATACACAGAACTGCAGTGCTGTGGAAGGTGGGGACCAACTGGTAGCTGTGATCCCAGCTTTTAAAGGGGAATAAAAGAGCACATTGGCCACTCTGCCTCCTCTCTGCTATTTTTAATGACCGCAGACTGCCAAACCCAGCACAGAGGGAGCTGAGGCAGCCAGCAGCCAGCATTTAATGGTTAATGCAGCTCTGGATGCCATGAAAAACAGCATCAAGAAAGAAAATGGCAGTTTTGTCTGCCCAGTGCTCCAGACACAGCAGTTCAGTAAAAATAACTCACAATGGCACTATTTCAGTCCAGCACCTGAATGGCATTCTGCAAATGGCCGTTCTTGAAAAGCAGCTAACCAAAAGCAGTTGCCAAAAAGAAAACAGAGGCAGAGCTCTGCAGCTCGGGATGTTACTTTGTCACGCTGCACAAGGAGGGGCACGAAGTGCTTTTTAAACCCAAGGAATGTTTTACTCTGGACACAGAAGGCGCACGTTGGATCATCCCACTGCTTCCATAGCTTTCAACAATAAAAACCGGAAGAAGGCCAGAAGCAAAACCAACAGCACAGCACGTGAGCAACCCCCAAACCTCATCCAACTGCAGTTTGCACGCTTGCAGAGGATAACATTGGCAAACAGCACGTCTGCTGTGCTCAGGTGGAAAGAAAGAAAAAACAACAGTAAAACAGAGACAGCAATGGGTGTGGATGGGATGGGGCTGTTCGACCTGCTTGCAGCACTGAGGTCGAAGCACTCAGCAGCTGAGCACATCAGCATCAGTGCTTCTTACAGCACAGGTGCTGGGATTTACCCTGTCTGCTTTTTGTTTGAGTGATTTAAAAGGCATTTCCCTTTGCTACGTGTGCTACAGTAACACAACTTTCCTTCTTAATGACTCCTAATGAAGAGCAACAAAAGATGTGGTTGTGTGAGACTGCAGCCTAACGTGAACAACAGCAATAAAAAGGGCAACCGTACCACTCAAGTTTCGACTGTTAATTCTGAAATTCAGAGGTGCAAAAGGTTTTGAGGACACAATTCTCCCACCTGGAAAAGAGAGAAAACAGCAAATCAGTTTCCAGTTTCCTTTAGAAATGACCAGTTATTAAGCACAACCTCGCAGAGCCCAAAATATGCTTTATTCACTTTGGCACAGAGCTGTCCTCTGGAAGCCACCACTTCTCTGTTCATTCCACACTTGATTTGCTTTTTTTCCCCCCAGAATTTCTTATTTTTCGATCTTCTGCCATCACCCACCAGAACTGTGATTATCCAAGTGGTTACAAGGGAAGAAGCCACCAGAGCACCTCGGGTGACATCAGGGCTGCTCCTCATGGAGCATACAAGACATCACCTGCGACTGCGTCCCCATTTTAACACTAATTAGTTAACTAATTAGTACCCAGTGTGACAGTTTTAAATGGGAGAACCCGCTAATTGAATTCAGCATGCAACGAGGGAAGCTGCTCACAGCCCCCACAGTGGGAAGGAAGCTCTGCAGTGCCCACAGCTGGGCGTCCCCACCACTAAGTGTCCCAACGTGGGAACCCCAGAGCATGTCAGCAAGGCTCCCAAAAGCTCTGCAGGAAGGCTTAATGTGCAGAGTCCTTCCCAAGAGATCACCTGGCTGGGAGGCTCCTTGAGCTCCTCTCCAACCCAGAAGCCATGATGTGATTTTGAGTGATCACATGGATTTCTGGTTTGTGTTTGCACAGAAGAACAGAGCTGCAGGAGTCCCCACAGCGGTGCAGCCACTTCTCTGTGCGGCTCAGAAGGAAAGCCACCAACCTGGCAGTCATCACCACGGCCGGTGGGAAACCCATGGGAAAAGGTGGGGAGTTGGACTGGTTACCTTCCTTCATGTTGGCAAATCGCTCCTTCAGTTGGTGATCCACCTCAGGACCAAAGGCAAAATTATTCACAAAAATAACACTGCAAGATAACGGTGGAGTTAATAAATGGGGACGGGTGTGTGGCACCAAGCACACCCACACCACCAGCCCCACGCCAGCTCTAAGCATTCAAGCCCCTATGAACCCAAAGAACAAAGAGTTTGCTCCTGGCACTGCCACACAAAGCAGCCCATAACCCACAGCATTGCCCAGATAATTACATTTAAGACGAGGAGCGAGGGCAGCCTGCTCTGACAGCTCCTCCCAGCACACAGCTGGCTTTGCACCGCGTCTTATTCATTACATCAGCAAGTTTCAACGCAGAGACAATGTGCAAAATATTTTCACTCCTCTCCCATGGTGCGAGCAAACATCAACATGACGACTGAGACCACGCTCACCACACACAGGAAACAATCCTCACACATGCACGGCTCATCCCATTCCTTGTTCACATTTAAAGCACAACAGCGGAAGATCACAGCTGCTCTTCTGGCCCTAGGAGGAAAGGTTTGCACCTCCCAGTGTTTTCACTGCCCTAAACCCTGCACTGCATGCTGATCCCAACTGAAGAGCTGCACTTCTGCCTGGGGTAGGAAATGCAGGGGAGGGGGGTGATCTTGAAAGCACTGCTCACACAGGAACACAGCACTCGCACGTATGGCGGTTTGGGAAAGAAGCAGAACACATTACGGATCCAAAAAGAAAAGAAAACATCATTTCTGGGGCTGTGTCCACATGTCTCTGTGCTGCTCCCTACCAGCACCCCGCACGTACACACTGCGTGCAGTGCTGGCACGTGGCTGCAGCACAAAGAACCGATTCCTTTGCAAGAAGGCTGCTTGCAAACTCCCCTCCTCGTGCCTCTATGCATGAGACGTGCTCAGTAAGGACAATGTGTCTGTGAGCAGCAGCCAAAGTTATTAAAAACCACAGATTTAAAAAAAAAAAAAAAAAAAAAAAGGAAAGGAAAGAAGAAATATGTGCTAAAAAAAAAATCAAGTGAAAGGCTTGTTGCTCCTTGCTGCGGGAAATTTGGGAAGCCCTGCCTGGCAAGTGAGGCTCGCGAGGGTTTCTTCCTGCTCCTTCCCAACACGTGCCAGAAAAGAGGCCTCGCAGCACAGCCAGGCACGTTAATGGGACCAGAAAACATCCAGGAAAGAAAAGGGAAAAGGAGAAGTGGCCTCGTGTGTTTCTTAGTGCTCCTTCTGGCACAGCAGAGCTCTGCAGCCCCAGGAGGGGACCTGGCACTGAGTGCTGCCCTGTTAACGGCAGCTCCTGAAGCTTGGTGGAGGCGCACTGTGATGGAGCACACTTACAGCACTGATGGATGCAACCCTCCACAGATCTCCACAGGAAGAAACGTTCGAGATAATGAGTTTGAATGAATCCCCAATTTGAGCTGGAATTGATTCATTTGCTCTTTTGCTGTATTATGTTTTAACACGGGAATTGAGCCTGGCTGCAGGAACTCGCAGCCACGGTGACCCCTGAGACAAGTGAGAAGGAAAGGCAGAACAAGCAGGGGTCTCTTCTGAGTTGTACAGCTAGAATTTATCTTGGATACGCCCCTGGGTGTGTGTCCCAGGACATGCATTTAAAGCCATTCCTCTCAACAGAAAACAGGATCTGAAGAGGCCAATGCAAGGGCTGGCAGATCAGCTTTTGGTATTTGCTACGGAAATTCTATAGAGAAGCTGGCCAGCCTCCCAATTTCCATCATACAGCCTCCCAAGCACTCAGTTCATAAAGCAGCATTCATTCAATGGCTGTACTGTACCTTGTGTTTGCAATTCTCTCTCTCCATTCTTCTGAGAGGAAGTCACCTCTTTCCAGCTTAAAGATAAGAAAAGAGACAAGAAACACAAAAACCACACAGATCAGTAAGTTAATGCTGCTCCTTTCCGTGTGTCCCTTCCCTTTCTGCAGCCTCAGCCCAGTGACCCCACTGCAGGACCCCCCCTCCGCTCCCACCCTCCGATGGGGGAGTGGGGAAGGGTCTCTGAGGCCCAGCACACCTCCCTGATGGAACACAGGGGAACCCCCACAGCTTTTCTGCACGGTGTTTGGATGTAAGAAGGGAATCTCAGGGCCATGCTGCTGTGTGGTGCCACGAGATGAAGGCAACTTGGAGGAGGAAGCTAAGAGAGGGAGAGAAGAGGCAGTAATACAATGAATTAACGGCACCCTGTGAAGGGCAGGAAGATGATGGATGTGTCACAAGCTCACAAACATCCCAGCAGCACCGGTGACTGCTGAGCATCCTTCTTCTGCACCTACTCCTTTGTTTGGAAAGGCACGAGCGCTTTGCTTGCCAGCTCCAATTCCAGCTGAGTGACAGCCACGTGGCACCACAGCATCGAGCTCTCTCCAAGCCTCCACAGCTGAGCCAGCAGACCCACAGCAGCAGAGCTGGGTGCCTTCCCTGCAGCCTTCCCTTGCAGCAGAGCAGCCTGACCTCACCCACAGCCACAGAAATGATGGCAGAGGCGCTGCGGGCCAAGAGGAGGACACAGTGAGTGGCCTTGGGAAGGGAGCAGGAACTCAGCACAGAGCCCAGTGTGCCCGAACCAGCTGAAAACAAGGGGTGACAATAACCCAAAGTCAGTCTGTACCACCCAGCAGATGGATGGAACAAGGTTTTAAAGCACAAGGACCACCTACAGCACCACGCCTGCCCAGGGGGCGATGCACTTCTTGATATCCCTGCTGCAATAAGAACAAAGCACACGTTGGAGACTGAGCTCAGAGAGATCCAACCCAGCCAAGTGCTGCCAGACGTTGCCAAAACCTCCAGCAAACACTCACTGCAACCTCAGAACAGCTCTGAAGGATGTTATTTTTCTCAGCTAATGTAGTGAAACGTTACTTCTGGGGCTCTACGTGCCTTTTTTAGAGATTGTGACCATCTCTAGATTCTTCTAAGGGATAATTTTGTTTTACTTTTGTATCCTGGTTGAGTAATCAAGACACAGCAGAAGAAAACCCACAAGCAAGGTAACTGTACTTATTGAGCAAGGCTTTTTGCAAGGCAGTTTCTGTACTGTTGCCCTCCATGCAATGCAGTCAGTTTCCAACATCTTCACAGACCAATAGGAGAAAGAAAAACACTTCAGAAATAATGAGGTGTGATGATAAAACCATAACCTTGCAAATGAACAAAGTACCAGAATAACACAAAACCATTTTGAAATAGGAAGGTTCATCTGAAGGTCTTGAAATCCAACTTGTTTGGATCCTGACTGACTTGGATCCAGTTACACCACGCATCTGTCTTACCTACAGGGTTTGGAAAAGAATGAGCATAGCCCAAATCTCCATTCCTTCACCCAACAGAACCTTGGGGGTTGGACTCGATGATCTCTGGAGGTCCCTTCCAACCCCTACAATTCTGTGATTCTGCATGGAAGATGCTCCCCTCGTCCACTTTTGCAAAATACAGACATGTTAACATTCCAACGAAGCACAGCACTGCTTAAACCCTTCCATCTTGGTGCTGTAATGCCACCCTCGCTCCTACTTCGCCAACAGTGGAGGGAAAAATCTCACCAGGAGAATTAAAGTACTGAAATAACCAGATGGTCCCCTGTGGTTGGGAGAAAACGGCTCGTTTTTCCCCTCTGGGTGGCAGACAGCGATTCCTGGGTCAGTCAGCTGCATTCTAAACAGAGTGTACAAGCAATCTGGCTGGGCTATTTCTGACCACCCTCTTTTTTACCCGCTGTACTGGGGAGCAACAGGGTCAACAGAGCCAAAGGACGGCTTAAGGAAAAGCCAACATCAGGAATCCAATGAAATTCCCCCTGAATTCACGCTCAGTCCATGGCTAACAATAATTCTGAGAGCAAAACAACAAGGGGGAGAGCAATGCCACTCCTGCCCGGGTGCAGCAGCAGTGATGCTGACATAAGGGATCCCTGCACAGGGATGCACTCAATCTCATCCCCCCAGTGTCCCAACCCCCATTGCGCTCCTCCTCTCCCTGAGAAACATAATCTGCTTAGTAAATAATGAATGGAAGGGACCATCTGTAATGCAGATATTTTCATCTGATTAGACAATGCAGGAGATGTGCTTTACCTAAAAGGATAATTAGCTGCTGAAATCCGCTTCAGAGAGCTGCCAGCCAGCACTGCTTCTAAACTTGGAAGGGAGAACAGGTTGATATTCAGGTTCTTCCAATGGGTAGCTCTGCTCCATGGAGAGCACAGGGCACGCTTAGCAGCGTCCAGCACACGGAGCAGAGCAGCTCAGGAAGGCTGAGCCCACCTTCCTCGGAACAGATTGCCCAAAGAAGCAATGAGTGCCCCATCCCCACAAGGACCCGAGGCCAGCAGATGGGCTCTGAGCACCCAGAGGAGCTGTGGGTGTCCCTCCTCAATGCAAGGAGTGGGACCAGACAGCCTTCAGAGCTCCATTCCAGCTCAGCTTGTCCTCCGACTGCTCGGAGGAAGGCTTTGTTCTCACCCTGCACACACCAGAGCCATAAATTCGCACGCAGCTCTCCTCATTCCAGCAGCCTCCATGCAAACACTTGGCTCAAAAAAAACCAACACAGTCCATTCTGCCTGGTAAAGTACACACGGATATTTTTAGGTTCCTGTTCTTTTCAAAAATAACTGGAGGCATGGATCCAAACCTCTGAAACGTGGCATCATTTCAAAGCCACAGGGGATGTTTGGAGGCCCTTTTGAATACCAAAACATTGCGTTTCCCGCTGAAATAGGGCATTCAAAAATATCTGGGACATGCAGCTCTCCTGCCTCCTTCTTACTGTTGAGCAACGGGATTTTTATGCACAGTGATGCCAGTCACTGCTCCAAAGCAGCAGCTGCAATCAGGCGCGGAGCAGCGATGCTCCTCCCGCACAAATCAGTGCTGAAGCTCAGAATGGAGACCAGGCTGCACGGGGCACTGGGCAGCCCATGGCAGCAGGTGGAATGGATGATCTGTAAGGTCCCTCCAAGCTGAGCCACTCTGTAATTCAGCGACCTCCTCCTCCTGCTCTGCTGAATGGCCTCAGCAAAGCAGCACAGGGGCACCGAATGTTACTTCAAGGGCAGATGACTTTCTGCTGCATGGCGGTGCCCCATGTGCCTGGTGATGGCTGTGACTTGGATCCACGTGAGGATATTTACAGCTAGAAACCATGAAAACCCAACCATCTCTTGACTGCAATGCTGCTTTTTAATGTGGTGGCTGCACACATGCAGAGATCCCCCAAGACAGGCCCTCTGAATTACCCAGACCTCATCACCTCAGAAATGTCTCCAGTTCCCTTTGTGTAACAGTTTGCTTTAAAAGAATGGGGAGAAGCTGATCTTGGAAACTTCTGAGTGCAGTGGGCAGAGAAATGAGCAGATAAGAGGAGCTGAAAGGAAATGGGACACTGGCATAATGCACAGAGCTATAATGGATTCTCTCTCCGTACAACAGAGGGGAACAGCAAAGAGTATTCATTAACCCTCACTGGTTGAGAATCAGACGTCAGGGAAGCACTGGAGCAACTGAAACTGAACGATAAAGGCATAAGGATGCAAATACTTAAAGCAAGGTGAAACATTTCAACTGAATGTAAAATGCTGAGAAGGAATCCTACCTGAAAGTTACTACAATGATTTTCTTTCCCCAGCCAGTTACAATCATGAGACTGAGCAGCCTGTCTTAAAATGAAACTCGGCTCATTTAGAAACAGCTTAATGAGACAGGATGACCCACACAAGCTGGAGGTAGGAGATGCCCCATGTCAGCATACGCTGAGCAATCCTTCTCCCACTCCAGAGTGCAGAATGCAGTTGGGGAGCTGCAATGATCACCCACTCCAAAGAGATTTTCTTCTGCCATTTGTTTACCGCTGTGGACAAAACGCAATGGAAGCTCTCACGACTGCCTAAAACATCAGGGCAGAACCCCCAGGTGAAGCTCAGCTGATTGCAGGCTGTTCCAACCCAGCAGATGGAATTTTGGGACCTCATTTTCCAGAAAAGCAGAATGCACAATGGAAACAAGGAGAAATTTTATTCCGAATACTTTTTCAGAAAGCAAAGTTATAAAATCTAGCAAAAGCGAGGAGCTTTGTTTCCATATAGCACTGGATTCCGTCGCTTGGAATGAGCAATATGGAAATGCTTGCTGCCTAAGGCAATCAATATGCTTCCAATATTTATTCCAAGTTCTTCTCCTATTCTTTAAATCGCGCAGCTCAGAAGCAGAGTATCTCCACTAACAGCTCCTTTCATGTGATGCCAGCTGGGTGACACAATGGAAAAATGCCATATGGCCACTTCATGAAGAGCGAAGCATTCGCAGTGTTTCCACAGCAGGAAAGAGTTAGCAGCTCAATATCAATGCTGCTACAAAGCAGCCCCACAGCAAGCCCAGCACGCTGCTGGAGGGGCCCATGCTACCCAGCCAAGGCATGTCAGGGAGAAAGTGCACAGAGGTGGCACTGTCACCTTCTCAGCCCAATTCCTAGTGGGAGAGCATCCTTCATCTCTTGTCAGACCCATAGAAAGGGCTCAGGGCTGCAGCAGAGCCCCAGAAGATTGAGATTGGCTTGCTGCAATGATCTGCCATTTCGTTTGATCCCACGCTGCTGAAATGAGGAGTGTTGTGTGGTTCAAACCACTGCAGTAACACAGCAATGGCTCTGTTGAAAGGAAAAAAGGAGAAGAAGTTCCCCAAATATGTGCAGCCTCTGAGCAAAAAGAGCATCCTTATGTCTCTGGGCAACGAGGGAACAGCCCTGACCCATCCATCCTCTTTCCTGAACATGAGGAAGAGGCAGAGAAGCACCAACACTGTATTTTAAGAGCTCCCAGTGGGCTGCTGTTGTGCTGTGACTACAGAGATTTCCCCACAGGCAAGTGATTAGCTGGAGAGCAGCTTCTTAATGACAAGAAGGAAAGAAAAAGAAAAGGGGTGGGAATGACACCAAGCAGCCTATGGATCTGCAAAGCTTAGAAGTGTTATTCTGGAGTGAAAAAGACATCTCAGAAGTGGAAAGCTTCTGGATCACATGCCCCCAGCCCAAGACAGACAGGTGCCTGTGATGCCCCCATCTGCTCCTGGTCTAGGTTCCATGCATGGAGCATCTCACCCCGACCCTTTCTGGGCGACAGCTAACTGCTTGCCATCCTTCTGAGCCCACTCACCCACCTGCAGCTCCACCTAGACTTATCTGCCCTGTTACCAGTCCTGAGATCCTCTGCCTTAATCTCAGTGCTGCTCTTCATGCAGAACTTCAAACCCTGCAGCACCAATCCCACTCATCACACCTCCACCTGCCTGCAGGACATGAAGCTTCAGCCTCTGTTTCTTGCAGGAGGGCTCAGACACCTGAGCAGGGGCTGCCACGTCCACACTACGTGAGGGAGGTGAGGAGAAGAGAAGGCATTACCACTAAGAGATGACACGTGGCAGCTGGACAGCACGGCCAGCAGAGTGCTGGAAGGATAAACCATCCAACAACTTCTGAAAAGCCCTGAGAGCACTTCCACAACACCACACCAAGTAATCAATGAGAGAAAGAGGCCACCGGGAGGATATCTCACAGAGCATCATCCTCAGGATCAAGGAAAGGCTGGTAAGCAGACACGGCTCATGCTGCTGCTTTGCTGCTGAAGGGCTGAAGAGGGCTTTGCAAATTCTGTACATCAGCAGGGACCACAACGCTTTTCAGCTGAATTGCACTCACTGTGTATTCTGCATGTTTTTTCCCATACCATTTCATCCACTTTCTGAACTCTCTGTCCATCGTCTAGAAGAGGGAAGAGACACAAAACCACCTGTTAGGACATCTTGGTGCAGCGAGACAGCAGTGAAAGCAGAGAAGCTCTGGCAGTGCTCAATAACCCCCTCCCCACCATTTTTTCCCCCATTAATACTCAAGGGATACCAGGCAGACATTCACTGCCACTTCTTAACAAGAAGATCTGCACCAGGATCAAGACAAAGCTGGCATTTTCTTCTCTCCCCCACCCTTCTCAGCAAAATTACATGTTATAAGCAAAGCAAACTGAGCTGACGCTGCTTACCACTAAAAATGGCACAACCTTAAGTAGCTGCTGTGTTGTGGTGCATAATCCCACAGAGCAGGAGGCACTGAATGCATCCAATCTGAGCCCAGATAGCAAAGCTTAGACGGGTCAGCTGGGGTGAAGCAGCAGAAAGTAGCATGCAGAGCAACTGCAACAGTGAGCGGAGGGAGCACCAATGTGCCAGAGCAACAAGGAGTGCTTCCAGCTGCACCCAGACAGACTGGGGCTGCAGGGGATGGAAGGCTGTGTGACCCAGCCATACAGCTGGCACCAGTCTTCTATTGCCCAAATACAGGAGAAATTAACAAAAAAATTAAATAAAAAAAAAAGAACAACATGTCAAGATGGCAGTGAGGGTCCACCTGAACACCAGGTGTGAAAATTAAACTCAAGTGTCTCAGAAGACTCAAAAAACCTCCTGTATTTCCAGAATTTGACTCCAGAAATGAAGGGCCCAAATTTGGAGGCAGCAATGTGAGGAAATACAGGAGAGAGCTCTGACTCTACCAACATCTGAGATGTGCTGATATCCATCAGTGCAGCAGTGTGTGCAGCAGATGTGTGCTGAAACTCTTTGTTTCTTGAGCCCCCCTAAGCTCTGTGGGACAACACACCAAAGCCAGAAGTATTTTCATGTGCTGGATGTATTTTGAACTTTGATTTTTCAAGGGCAGCTTCACTAAATCAAATCCATGAGACTCTTCCCATTTAGCTGAAGGTATTCAAAGCCATCTGCATCCTTTCCTTACCAAAGCAGCCAGAGATGTGCTGCCACAGCCAATCTGAGCTGGAAACTTAATCCAATCTCTTGCACAAGTGTCTATCAGAGCTGGGGAGAACACAGCATGCAGGCAGCAGCTGCTCAGCTGCTCAATCTGTAACCAGCAGAACAGTGCTGCACAATTTGTTCGTCCCATAAACCTATGAAATATTGGTGCTCTTCTGCAACAGAAGGCAGCCCACAAGTTAATACTAATATTTAATTTCTGGGTGGTGTTTTCTGTTGTGTTTGTTTGGTTTGGTTTTTTTTGTTTGCTAACCATTATCATTAAGGCCTTATGTTTGCACAGTGATAGAAGGGGTATCATGGCAAGTGAGAACCCAACGTTCCCTCTTCAGCATTCATCTCTACACTAAGCTCACTATTAAATTCAGACAGTGACTCTCCAGTGCAACCAGGAGGCTCACACACAGGGAATGCACGATGCTCCAGTTGGAAATTTCCACTGGGTCACAGGAGGAGAAACAAAATGGATTTTTAGATCGTTGTCTGATCCTCCTCACCACCGTGTTTACGCATTTTTGCCCACACCACTTTAAAGGAGGATCAAGGATTCGTTTTGCCTTCGTAAGGCATAATTTTCTGGCCTGCACAGACTGAGTCAGCTTATTTTAACAACATGGAGGGGTACATTTCTGTTCAGTCTGCTGCAGAAAGTAAACTTGGTATGGTAAGGCACAACTAGCCTTGATTGCCTGCTTGTAGCTCGTTTGCCTCCCAGGATCCCAATGCCTTTGATTATCTCTTTGTGTCCCCATTGGCAGAGAATTAAAGAAGTTGAAAGAAAACTGCCTGCTTGCCTACACATTATGGCACTGGTGTAAGATTTCCTCTGGCTGCACAGTTACCAACCAGACAAGGCACTCACGAGCCTTGCTGGTCAGCCCATCCCAGCTTAATAACCAAGCTGAACTCCAGCTATGGGACACCAGAAAGGGGCAACAGTGCCTTAGGCACAAAGACAGCTTTAAAAACCTCTTAAGAACTGTTTGTTGAGTCGATTCCTTCCCAGATTTGCTTATAGTGCTTTGGTTTCTGACAGCCCCTCTGCACGAGGGCCTTTTCACAGCCACCAGTGCAGGTGTGTAGGTGAAGCCTACTGCATCTCCTCTTGAATAAGTCCTACATCACCATGGTTAGAAACAGGCTGAGCTCTCAGCAGGCACAAGGAAAGGACAAACGTTCCCCCCAGGCATGCTGCCCTCCAGGGCTTAACCTGAGAAACAAAAGCACGCACACTGCTCACTGCAAGCCACTGACCTCAGCGTATTTGGCTGGAATGTCAGCTTTCTCCACACCATAGTGATGTTTGCAGTTTGTGGCTGCAGCCACTTGAAGCACCACCTGACCCACACCTGCAGGAGAGAGAAAACAAACTTGAGAGAGGGTTCCAAGAGAGGAAAGCAAAGAGTCATTAACGGGAAACATGCAGAAAGTCCCAGAGTTCCATCTACTCTGCAATTCAAATCGTGCGTGGCTGAAACGAGCCCCATTTTCCTACAAGGTTAAATGCTAAGAACCCTCCTTCCTGTAAAAGGAATTTGCATCCTGGAGGAGTGTGCACTGCAATTTAACTTCTCTCACAGAAGGAAAAAGAAACGTGGTGTTACAGTTTTGATGCTTCCATTTTTCAGTGCTTTTAGGATAACAGCACAAGGCCTCAACACAGCAATGTTTGCACTGACAAACATGAATGGCTGCTGCTGTTAAACATGGCTCGTGGTCACCATCTAACAAAGGCTCACCAACAGCTGGATTTACACCAATTTCATCAGCATTTCATCAAACTTACAGATCTCAGACTGTACTCCAGTACACATTAGCAGCACAAACAATTCCCACCTCATCCCAGAATGATGTTGGTCTCATTCCTGTGCTGAAGACCAACCCGTTTGCCCAGCACTAGGGGCACAATCTTTCACCTGAAATGCAGCACAATGCCTGAGAACAAAACAAGCTTATTTTCCTATAGGAAATGCAGGGTGCTGCTTTAGAACACATGACCAGGTTCAACACTCAAAAAGAAGTTCAGTGCCAGATCAGCACTGAAAAATGCATGAATTTCCCATCCCAGCTCTGCCTGCACTGCAAGCTGCAGCAGCGCCGAGTTGTTCCTACACCCACCTGAGCAATGCATGCCCTTCCCTCCATCCCAGCTTAAGGAATAAAAGGGAAAACAGCACTTTGATTTCTGCCTTCACAAGCGACCCCCATTCTGCCGGCGCTAAAGCAATGCCATTCCCCACCTGCTGAAGCACTCAGAATACATCCTGCCTACGTCTGACGCATTTCCATCGCGCCGTCGTGCTCCATCACCCTGCAGGTGACCACATGGGGAACGAGAGCAAACCTGAGCAGATCCCCCATCTGCACAGAGCCACGCTGCTGTGTGCGCATCGCTGGCTGCTGGCTGGAAGCAGCGCTGCTAATTGGAGGGGTGGAACTGCTGCCTTGAAGGCCTGGCCACCAGAATGCTGCTGGCACAATGAGAGCTCTGCTGCTGTCAGCGTGTTTTGTTGGTTGGCTTTCTTTTTTTCTTACTCCTTTCCTCCTTCCCCCAATTCCCATTTCACACACACAGATTTTATACACGTGCAAATACAGATGTGCAGATTTCCGTGGGGTGGGAGAACACGGTCTGAGGGAGAACTGCTTCCCTGTTCCTTATTCCTGAAGGAGGACAAAGACCAAGGGGAGGATATAAACACAGTTATGACAGAAATCACAGTACAGCATCACGAGTTATTAACCTTGTCTTTCTTTGGCCCTTCTTTCTGCGCTGCAATTGCCAGCAATGATGCATACCTACATGAATTCCTCCTGCAATCTGTACAGGAGTGGCCACAGCACCTGGGGGTGCAGCCCCTGCTGTGTGCACGCAGCTCTAGGGAGGTCATTCCCATTGGTGGGAGGAAAAAATATGCTTTCATTTGTGCTACTCTCAGTTCTGCACTGATTACAGTTTTCCAAAGTTTACTCCTTCAGTACAAACTCAGGAACAACGTTCTGTTTCCAATTGTTGCAGTGCTCCAAACACTGGAAACCAAAGACTTTCAACCAATCCTTCCCTACGTGACTCTTCACGCTGTGGATTTCTACACGGTTGGTCTGCCCCCAAGGGAAAAGTGGGGAGAAGGCAAGCAGTAAGGCCAGCAGAAATCCCACATCTCATGCTATGAGCACCAAGCACCTCAGCTTCACCACACACTTCTTGTTCCACCATCAGCAGCTCTGCAAGACTTCAGATACCACCTTCTTCAACCCTCCTAGCAATCAGCCACCAGTATCTACGGCCTTTATTGTTGGTTTTTTTTTTCCAGAAGGAAAATTGTTGGACCTGACGCCTTTCTGCAGCTCTCAGCTGGATATCAGTCATTGGAACAGGAAATTTAAGGCCTAAGTTGCACAGAGGGAGGAAGGGGTCAGGAGGAGGTGATCCCTGACTGCAGACACGCTGGGATCTGGAGGGAGGATGGCTGTCCTGATGGGTTTACATTTGTTATTTGTTTGTTTTTAAGAAATTAAATATAGATTTTTTAATATTTTCCCTAGAAGTCCTGCATCATACTAAAACCAAAACCAAAACTTCACCTACAATTTTAAGACCAATCCAGTAAAAGGGGAAATTCTTATGACTCCTTTCCTGCTCAAAACCAGATCTTAGCAACAAAAAGAAGAACATCATCCTCTTACTCAGTACGTATCTGTTCCACATGGCTTTGAGTCATAGCTGGTTTCTCTACCAACTCAAACTTCCTTTTAAAACCCCAGCCTACACACGAGAGGCACTTGCACTCACTCAGCTGGATTTGTGGGGCCTCACAACACAACTGTCACATAAGAGCATGAAGACTTTTCTGACACACTGAGAACTACATCAGAGGGGAAACAACCGCCCAATTTTCAGATGGTGTGCCCAGCATTTCATGGGAGAGGTGAGGAAATCAGATCTTCATATATGAACGGAATAAACAATTCACAGAAAGTCGATGAATCCTTAAAAATGGAATTGCTGTTCTATGTTAAGCATCATTTTTTTGGCATTGCTCCTTCTTTGTGAGCGCATTCATCGACAAACATGAAGAGCTTTCTGTAAGAAGGGTTTGTGGCACTTGCAGGCCAACATCTCACCACGGGGAACAAAGTCTGGGACATCTGCTCGGTCTGCTTAATCCTGTTGTGAAAAGCAGAAGCATCACTGAGGATTAACTGGAAAAGGTGCTTATTCTAGAATGTAATCCTTAGCCCTGGTTTACTTTCCAAACGTGAATTTATGACAAAAAAGGGGGACAAAAAAACAGCGAGCAAAAAGAAGAAATCCTTCCGTTATCGGTCACTCACCGCTGCCCAAGTCGACAAAGAGATCGTCTTCTGTCATTTTAATCTCATCTATCATCTGGGCCACCAGGTCGAAGGAGGTTTCTCCATACACCTCTGGGGAGAAGGGCTCGTAGTTGTTGAGTTTCTCGGGGTCGGTCACCGAGTGGTTGTAAACCTGCTGCAGGATGTGCCGGAGGAGCCCGTTGGAGGGACGCGTGTTCAGCTTCATCGGTTGGGTGGTTCCCTTCCACTGCACAGAAAGAGCAAGGAGGGACATTTTGGTGGATGGAAAACTCAACGTGAGCCAGCAGTGCGCTCATGCAGCTTGGAAAGCAAATGTATCCTAGGCTCCACTGGAAGAGGGGTGGGCAGCAGGCATTGTCCCTCTTTACTCTGCCCTCGTGAAGCCCCATCTGCAGCACTGCATCCAGATCTGGGGCCCCCAGCACAAGAAAGACGTGGAGCTGTTGCAGAGGGGCCAGAGGAGCCACAAAGATGAGCAGAGGGCTGGAGCAGCTCCCCTCCAAAGACAGGCTGAGGGAGCTGGGCTTGTTCAGCATGGAGAAAAGAAGCTGCAGGGTGACCTCAGTGCAGCCTGCAGTACCTAAAGGGAGCCTACAAACAGGAGGGGAATCAACTCTTGGAAAGGGTTGATAACAGCAGGACAAGGGGAAATGGTTTGAAGTTGAGGGAGGGGAGATTGAGGTTGGATGTCAGGGGGAAGTTCTGTGCTATGAGAGTGGTGAGGTGCTGGAACAGCTGCCCTGAGAGGCTGTGATGCCCCGTCCATCCCTGGAGGTGTTCAAGGCCAGGTTGGATGGGGCCCTGGGCAGCCTGGGCTGCTGTTGAATGTGGAGGCTGGCAGCCCTGCGTGTGGCAGGGGGTTGGAGCTTTGTGATCCTTGAGGTCCCTTCCAACCTGGGCCATGCTGTGATTCTGTGACAGAAATCCAACGTGAGGACAAGCAAATATTAGTGAACTAATAGATAAGTTCAAACATCACTGCTAGAAATAACGGAAAGGTACAAATTCAACAGAGATCTTAGTTGGGAGCACACCTGGAAAAGGCGTTTGTTCACCCATTTTGTATTTAATGATCACCACTGATGTTGGCTGTAAGCTCAGCGTGAGAGCAGCTCAACTTCCACTGGGAATTGTGGGGTGGGAGGGATCGTATGCACACAAACAGGAGTGGCAGGAAAGAGATGGAAATCGAGCTTCCCTTGTTTCTTTTGAAGAAACACCCATCCCTAAACACAGTGCAAGAAACATCTGCCTTCAGTAAGGAAAAACAAAAAGGGCAACTCCAGAATCTGGGCTAAGTGTTCCTGTGTTTGAGATCCAGGTGGCAGGAGGAGCATAAATTGACATACAAAACCCAAACAGTTTTTAGGGAGCTGCAGGCCCGTAAAGGACGGGCAGAAAGTCTTACTGTGCTGCATACATCCAGTAATTCCCACAGGCACTATGGAAAGGAAAAGAAATCCACCTCTAATTTCAAAATTAAACAGACTGCTAACATTAAGTCATTACTCATGTTTTACTTCCTTCAATTCAACCTTACAGAAAAGAACACACCTTGTTAAATCGGGCTGAGATTACAGTCTAGTTTTCCCCATCAGAGCGGCCCTGCAGCACAGAGCAGAACTGAATGGCAAGCACGGAAATTCCCAAGCCATGGGTCACTGCCACAATACACAGGGGGCTTCATATGGACGGCTTAAGAACCCATGAGCCACAGATTTCCACATGCAAAAGTAAACCTATATGATAAATCCCTGTGAAACTTCTGCGAGCAAAATACATGGAAGCCTTTTCTCAGCCCCCTGAAGGGAACAAAGTGCCAAAGGAGCACCTGAACGAGAGCTTACAAACCTGCACGTAGGGAAAAAGGAACAAAAAAAAGTTCCTGTGCTTTTTATCTCCTGCAAGGCAGCCCCTCCAATAGCAACTCTTCCATAGATGGCCAAGGAGAGATCGTTTAATGAAAGATTTAAACCCCCATAAGAATGGAAGCACCGAAGCACCAGTGACACCACCAGATCGCACCACCAGTGCTCAACCCCGACGGTTTTTAGATGTCATTCACTACACGTGAGTCCAAAGCAGGGAGATGAGCACCGTGGCACAGCAGTGGCCCATACGTACCAGCTGGTGGATGCTGTCGATGGCGCGGTTGTACTTGTCACACAGCCGCTGCATGCTTTCAAAGCTGCGGGGAGAAGGCACAGGTTACAAGAGGAGGGCAACAGGCCAGCTTGGAGGTACAGCTTTCAGCCCCTGTGTCATCACAGAAGCTGATCTATTCAAGGTTTGCTCCTTGCAGAGCGTGTGATTACTTGCACGGCTTTAGGACACTGCCTAGTTTGCTTTCTGCCGTCTCCCAGCAGAGCAGCAGTACAAGACAAAGAAGCAACAAGTTGTGCAACCTGCTTGTGCCGTGGAAGGAAGACAGGCACTTCCATTTTGGAAGCTGAACGTTCATATATTATTAGTTCCCTTAGTGAACAGGAAAATAATTGAACTTAAGCTCTGATTTATGAGCAGTCTGCTGTTCTCCTTGCCCGCTACTTCTTTTCCTCCATGCAGACACACAGAAATGTGTCTGTGTGCTGCTCTCCTTTGTTCCACAGAAGGGACAGGGGGTGGTGGGCAGTGTTGGTGGGAGGTGAATGTTGGCCATGATGACCTTAAAGGACTTCTCCATCCGGAATGGCTCTACAATCAGCACTTCATGACAGTGACTGCTTCATGGGTTGCTCAGGATTACAGTCAGTGTAGCCAGATGCCTCCATGGCAGAAGCTTAGAGGATTAAAAAAAAATTTATCTCATGCCAGGGAGGAAAAGATATTGCTAGGAAATCAGGATTACATAACCAGGTTCTATGAAAAAAATAAAAAATAAAACAAAAATAAAACAAATGAGGAGTTATGGGAGCAAGATAATCAAATTGTGGCCACCCCTGAACCAAGAAGTGGGGACCAGGGGATATAGAAAGAAGTGGCATTGCAATCAAGCAGTTAAAACGAAATGGAGAGGAGCAAAAACACCTTCAGCAGATCATGATAGCAGTACCTGCGTGGGGCTTGGGATTATAAACAGGGATGACTTACAGAGGGATGGGGTTCCATCTGCAATCCTCAATCTATGTGTTTAGCCACGCTGTGGACTTGAACAAATGCAGTTTTCCCCCTGTGCACGACTTGAATCAATTCTGTTTTTCCCCACATAAGCAATGAGGGAGGTCTCTGCATGCCACAGCTCTTTCTTTTCTTTACAGGGGGTCACAGCTCTTTCCTGCCTCAGTGCAGCAAGTCCATGCGTGCAGATTCACCCCAGGAGACGCTGCAGGCTGAGGGTCTGCCGCTGCCAGCCCCAAGGTGGACAGGGGGGAGAGGTGGGACAGGGAGGAACAGCCTTAAACTGAGACAGGGGAGGCTTAGGTTGGATATGAGGAGGAAGTTTTTCACCCAGAGGTGGTGAGGCACTGGCACAGGTTGCCCAAGGAGGCTGTGGATGCCCCATCCCTGCAGGCATTCAAGGCCAGGCTGGATGTGGCTCTGGGCAGCCTGGGCTGCTGGTTGGCGACCTGCACACAGCAGGGGGTTGGAATTGATGGGCATTGTGCTTCTTTGCAACCCAGGCCGTTCTATGACTCTATGGAGGTGAACAGCACGCACTATACATTCATTTGCAGCTCTTTGTGGAACAGGCACTCACATGCAGACACAAGAACCTCCAACTAATCCTAGCTGCCCAAGAGAGCAGTAGGAATGGTTTGCCTTTTAACTTATTCCCCACCCAAACAGCATCACGCTCATTCTGAACACGGAACGGAGGAGGAAGGGGGAGGTTCAGCTCCCACAGCCCTGGCAGGAGAAGGACAAGGCGCTGACAGACAGCTCTGGCATGCAGCTTTCTAAACAGGAATTCTGAGTTACTACAGAAGTAGAAACCTCGGTGCCATTCAGCTCGCTAGGGCTGGATGCAGTCCAACAGCTCAGATACCGATCATTGTTTTGCAGTGAGTAATTCCAACGTACACAGCAGAGCTCAGCTCTCCGCCGTACGCAGTTTCCTATTATGTCCTTCATCCAACAGCCTTTGCCAATATTTCTGTTACACATTTCCTACCAAAATAGCTCTGCCAGCTCCAGAAGAAAACTTTGGTTCGTAGTGTCTAAGAATAACCAGATAGCAACAGATTCACTGCAAACCGTGCTGGCCTGTCCTCCTGCTGGGAAAAAGTATTCTTTGCTCACCTTTTTGTGTCATAGTCAATTAGAACGTAGTTTTCCATAGCAAGCTTGAGATCTGGGATTTCTTCACAGACCCACCTGGAAAGAGAGAAGGAACAGAATAAAAACAACGTTTCCAGTTCGCTCTCATAAGGCAGTCTGTCTCAGTTCTAGACTGGCATTGCCATACATTGAGACAGAACGCTGCAGCAGACATGAAAGCTCACAGTATTGTTAGGAGGAAGGCAGACAGCACAAAATGCTAAGTGGGAAGCTGCAAGTGTCCATATTTGTGTTGAAAAAACAGCGAGGTGCCTGCAGACATTGGCAGTGGTATAAAGCACTGGAAATGGCACAGCTTCAAATGGAGGTGATAAATGTATGGAGTGCATCTGAAAATACCCAAAGCTATAGCTGATGTTAATCTCACATAAAGCAAAACGCAAAAAAGAAAGAAGAAGAAAAAAAAAGAAAGAAAAATGCAGTATTTTGAAAGGATTTCTAACAAAACTGACACTGTAACAGCTTTGCCAAAGGGGAAGGTGGAGAAGACCTCTCCTCCAGCAGCCTGGACCACCACCACCAGCCATCCACAAGGATCTTCTCTAAGCTTTTACACTTGACACGACCCAACCCAAGACAGATTTGCCAAGGTAATTTTGATAAAAGATCTCTTCCTCGTGCTGAACTAACAAAGCCCAAACGCTGCTGCCATTAGGAGGGGAAAGCTCAGCCCCACTGGCACTGCATCTGACAACGGCAGCTCACAGGTGAGAGTTTTGCTCTCACTATATGGGAAGATGGTGAAGTCTTTTTGAAGGCAACTGAAAAGCCACAGCGACTTGGCACAAACTTTCCTCCAAAAACAGCAAAACAGGGAAGAGCTGCCATCACCACAGCAACTCAGAGCACGCCATAGGAAGGACAGAAATGGGAATGGCAGCATTTCCTCTCCTTGCACCACGACGCACGCTTTGAAATGGTGAAAGAGCACAAGAGATCCAGCTGTTCTGGGTCCTTCTGCCTGATTCACCCTTACCAAATCAACACACACACAAATTAACAGAAATCCCCATTTGATACCAATGCCTGACTGTCTTCTGCTGAACATCCACCTTCCCCCACATTTACAACATTCACAACTTTCCCAATTTTTCTCTTACATCAGGCAAATGGGCAGCCAACAGCTGCTTACCCAAAGAGATTGACAGCTCTCTGCATTCCTTCACTCAGTGCTTTCATGACCATGCTGTGGTCTCTAAGCACAAGGAAGGCAAAAGGCTGCACAGAAGCCTTCTAACAGCCCACTTGCACTGCAGTCATGTTTGTAAGACGGTTGTGAAACACCTCTTTGGCCCAACTGCTTTCTTACACAAGCCCCCTGTTGCCTGCAGGAAGCACAGCACTGAAAACAGCACAGAGGACTCTGGCAATCGCTTCCATCTTCCCCATAATCACACCATGGGCTCCCCAGGCACAAAACTTCACCAGCATCAGCACAAGCGAGCTGGAAGAAACAGCAGCAGAGCAGCTTGCATCCAGGCTTTGCAACTGAAAAAAGAACATTTCTTCTTAAAAAACAAAAAGCTTGAGCTCCAGCCTCCAGCATGGCACCTGCACATTCCCTCCTACCACAGATTGTGGTCAAATATTATGATTTCATCTACATGAGTGATGTTATCAGCAATACTGCTAAGCTTTCCCACTCATGCTGGGAGCAGCTTGCTGGGCCATATGGGATGACCAGGTTCCAAGCTCGTGTGGCCATGCAGGCAGGACCCTGCTCTGTGTTTCATCTGCACCATCCAGCCTGCTGCCCTCCTTTATACCCTAAGGTGCTCACTCACTGTGATGAAGCCGTGCACAGGAAAGGGTTCCAGTCTGCACCGAACACTTACCGAATTGTCTCAATGATTTCATGAGCAGCATCATGGTGTTTGTCCTGAAATAAAGCAAAAAAAAAAGGCATTTTCAGAGAGACAACAGGTGTGCTGTTTGTTAGAAGATTACAGGAACTGCAATCTTGTTCACGATACAGGCGACAAGCGTACAAGGGAAGGAACATTTGATTGCCACCTGAACCCTTAAATCAATCCAAATGAGCCCATTACTTTGGGAGTTTATTGAACAGAACCAGAAACACACATTGCAAGTTACTTCAAGCACGTGCCCCAAAAGCCCATGTAGTGCACATACATGCACCATGCTATGAAAAAAGTCTTATTTTGGAAAGATGAAGGTGTTCTATGTATCTTGTTGTATTCATCACATGAAGCCATGGCTACCAGGGCCCATCCACACAGTTTAGGTTATATTTAGACACTTCTTAAAGTGGATTTGACCTTTTAATTAGAAACCTGGGATCCGGGACCTTCCAGTATCAGAAGGGTATAGGCTCACTCTCCACATTCCCTCATCTGCTGCAGACATGTAATTCCTACAGAGCTACCATAGGAAATGGACTGGGGCAGGGGAGGGAGTGGAAGAAGAGAAACACCAACGGAGAGCTGACAGAAGTAGCTGTAGATTATTCTGATTTAAGTTCAACAGAACCCTTCCCCATCTGCATCACAGCTTTCACACACACACAGCGGAGCACATTTCCCAGCCCATGCACTCAGGATGCTGTAGAAGTTCTCCCTGCAGAAAGTCGCGCCCTTCGTACCCGGATAAAGATTGCATGATGCAGGAGCAGAAGGAGGCAAACGTTTCTTAAGTCTGTTATGACAAAGGTATGAAACAACACTTCCTATTTCACTAGGAAAAAACCTTTATTTTCCAAACAGAAAGAAATAGCTCCGTTCATCAAGGGGTCACGTGAGAAAAAAACAAAATGCTCAAAAAGGAGAAGCTGCCAACCCAAGGGTAGTCAGGACACATGGCTTTCAACACGGAATGGCCCAGATGCCAACTTCCCTTGGTTCCATCCCAGCGCTACAGCACGCCCCGTGCTGACACGGCAAGCTGTGCCAACAGCCCTGCACCAGGCTTCCTCCAGCCCATGGGTTTGTGTACAGCCCTGCACAGCCCACATCCAGCTGCAACCAGCAGCACCAATAAACAGGCACCCAATGTGAAGCGTTGAGCAAATAGCTGTACCAGTACTGCTCAGCCTAGAAAACAGGGAAGTAATTCAATGGGAACGTGCTCTGTAAATGGACATGTAAAGAAGAAAGGCATGCAGGAGGAGGGCTCTCCTGTCTCTTTATTTCTTATCTGCACAGTACAAAAATAGCCCAAGACAGTCAGCTCATCCATAAACATCCCCTATGAATTTCCACCTTTCACTGCACACGGAATTATCACCGTATAAACCCCCCGGGATGATCCAGCTCTCCCAGTAAACTGTGTTCCTGTATAGTAAGAATGTGGTTTATCAACATAAGCACATTATACCGGAAAAGTGAATTCACGCTTCTGCTGCCATATAACCTTTTTCCCTGAAGAAGTTACATTCTCCACTGACAGCTTTGCAAGCTCACACAAATGGAACCCCATGTCCTATAGTCTTCAAGAAAACGCCCCTATGATGACCAAAAATGCTTATTTAACAGATTCCTTTGTCTTGAGTTAAAAAATAAATATCACAATGCATATCTACAGCAACAGTTCCAGCAAGTGGTTTTAGTAAAGGAACCTCACTGCTCCTGAGCAATTCCTGCCAGAAGGGGCCTTCAGAGTTCAGACTGTGTTTTATCTAGCAGCAACAAAGCTGGAAAAGGTTCCACATTGACTGCAGCTAAGTTGCTCATGTTGAACGCTTACCAATTTACCCTTCTCTCCAATATGCTTTGTTCAGGTGGACAAGCTCTCAAGATCTCATGCAAGTCTTGAAAAGACCTAACACTTGTTCAAAGCACAAAATGGAGGAGGAAAAAATAAAGATTAAACAGAGGCCACTCATGGCTCCATTTCAATGCTAGGGCAGTAAGATTTAACAAAGATAGCTTTCAGCAAGAGCCAGCCATCCCACCTGTGCTCACATCGTTGTACTCCCACAAAGCAAGAGTCAAGGTGAGCAGAAACCTCACCATGAGCACAAGCTGCCTGTGCACAGCACCAACACTGCCCACCACTCTTAGGACTTGGTGCAGCAGATTGAACCTGCTCTGTTTGCAAGCCCACTGGGAGAACAGGCTGGGAAGACCGGGCTGCAGTTCCTGATGATGAAGCCTCCTGCCCTGCCTTACCACCACAGCACAGCACATCATCAAGGCCAGGCTGGATATGGCTCTGGGCAGCCTGGTGAGGTGGTTGGTGACCCTGTCCACAGCAGGGTTTGAAACTAGATATCTTCAAGGTCCTTTTCAACCCAGGCCATTCTATGACAATTCTATGATCTTGATCTGAAGCTCCTAATCACAAAATCACAGAACATCCCATGTTGGAAAGAACCCACACAGATCACCAAGTCCAACTCCTGGCTCCAGCACCAGCCAAAATCCAAACCCGACCCCCGCAAGTGCAGCCCAAATGCTCCTTCAGCTTCAGCAGCTTGGAGCCATGACCACAGAGGAGCCCAATTCACCCCCCCAGCTCCAGGCCCTTCTCCCTCCATTGGTGAGGGAGTACATGGGCCCGCTGTGCTGCGTGGGCCCAGGCCCCTGTGTGCTGTACAGGCCCAGGCCTCACTGTACCGCGTAGGCCCAGGCCTCAGTGTGCTGTGCAGGCCCCGGATTCAATACTGCGTAGGCCCAGACCTTGACCTGCTACTTGCAGGCCCAGGTCTCCCTGTACTGTGTAGCCCCAGGCCCCAGCATGCTACGTAGGACCAGGCCTCGAAGTTCTGCCTACAGGCCCAGGCCCCAATGTACTGTGTAAGCCCAGGCCTCTGCGTACTGTGTAGGCCCAGGTCCCAATACTGTGCAAGCCCAGGCCCCACAGTGCTGCCTACAGGCCCAGGCCCCAGTGTACTGTGTACGCCCAGGCCTCTGTGTACTGCGTAGGCCCAGGCCCCAACACTGTGTAAGCCCAGGCCTTGAAGTGTTGCCTTTAGACCCAGGCCCCAGTGCACTGTGTAGGCCCAGGCCCCAACATGCCGACCACAGGCCCAGGCTGTGCTCTGTAAATATCATACAGCCTGAGGGGCTCTCGGGCCCCAGTGTGGATCTGCAGGGCTGCAGGAATGGCACTCCTCCACTGGGTGAGGCCTTATCTCCTCAGTGCGTGCTCTCTGAGATGTTGTCTACAGGAACTGAATGTGCCCAGAGCTGTTCGTAACAAGTTTTGTCGTTGTTTTAAATAATAATAATAAAAAAAATAAACATACCTTAGAAGTTATTACAGCCAATCCCGCCTGGCTGAAATGTATTATAAAAGGTTCTTATTTTCGACCTCAACATTCAATCTAAAATTGCGCTCTGTGAGCTCACAGAGAACATTCAAGTTTTTGCCAAGAAATCTCACGAAAAAAATAATGGAAAGAAAACAAATACTTTTTCAAAAGTCATTTGCAAGAGTGTAGTTTTGTACAGGGAGCAATGGAGACGCCTCAGCAGCACAAGTGAGCAGCTCCAACCCTGAGACGGATTTCTCCATCAGTCACCACAACTGGAAGGACTGAATCGAGAGGTTTTGCATAACAACCTACAGGTGCAGGAGCAAAAACCCCCAGTGGTTGTGTTGGTGCCACAACTCCAGTTGGCTGCTGTCACAGCACACACCTCCTACACGAGGTGAGGCTGCTTTGCTTGCTTTATTTGTCAAGTTGACATCTCTTAGGAGATCTTAATGGCATCGTTATGGGATAATTCCTTAAGGCAGCCAACAGCCCAAACCATGAGAACTAAAGTTTTAAATCCTGGGTGTGGTCACAGGGGGGAAAAGAAAGTTGGTGTGTTTTCTATCAGCAGATCTCAAAGCACTGTGCAAAGGACGTGAAGATTCCTTATCTAATTATCACAGATAGGAACTCAAGGCTGACTGCCCAGATTGAACTGTCGCACAAGAAAAAGCAGTCCTCACCTTTAGGGCCCATTGGCCCTTTGACTCACCAGACCTCATTTCCTCTCCCAAAACAGGCGAGGTGACCATACCAGTTTTGCAGAGAGGTACAAGCAAGCCTCTCACATTTGCAAGGTAGGAGGAGACCTCCAAGTTTTGCACTGTGCAACGGATAAATCTGAACAAGTCAGAAAAAAAGCAAAGCCTGACACAAACTAGTGAAAAATTCAATGGTGACACTCATGTGCTTTTCAAGGATCGCCTTTAAAAGTTCTACATTTCACCATGCAACACCAGCTTCCAAAAACTAAACACTGACTCCACTCAGGAGTTGTTCTGACCGCCAGACTTTGACCTACGAGTGCTGTGATCTTATTGAATTTGCCTAATGAAGGCGGTCAGTCTCAGCAGCTCCTGTTTGAAGCACAGCTCAGCTGCCTGAAGCTGCAGCCCTCTCTGCAGACAGCATCCATAAATCCAAAGGAGAGAGAATGTTACAGCTGGGGACAAGATGGCTAGCAGAGATCAAAAAGATGGATTAGGAAAAGCCAATCAATCTTGCAGAAGACTAGCAGGACAAGTGCCCCTTTAATGTCCCTTAGGTTTCTTCCATCTGTGGTGGATGATAAGCATTCCTCCAGACATCAAGGCAGCCAGAGCAAGCTGCAGCAGAAACAGTGCAGCATCCACACATGGACACGACCCCAAACCCCGTGCTCCAGGGATCACCTTCATTTGCACTCTGCCTGGAAAGAGCCCCCAGCACAGCATCCATGCCCACAGCATGTCCACCTCCAACGTCCTGCACACAGCAGAGGACAAAGGTCTTGTGAAAAGCAGAACCCAAAGCACTTCCAGCTGCTGCAATCATAACCAGTGCCCACTTTGCATTTTTAGGTCTTGTCTCACACTGGTTACAAGCTGAGTAAGGAAAAGGGAAAGTTGTTCCAAGCAGTATTTCACACTGTACGGATAGACTTTTCATATTATCCGTTTTTA